CTGTCACCAATTGTCACCATTGTCACCAGTCACCATTGTCACCATTGTCACCATTGTCACCACAGTCACCATTGTCCACCACTGTCACCATTGTCACCATTGTACACCACTGTTCACCATTGTCACCACTGTCCACCATTGTCACCACTACCACCATTGTCACCACTGTCACCACTGTCACCACTACCACCACTGTCACCACTGTCACCATTGTCACCACTGTCACCATTGTCACCATTGTCACCATTGTCACCACTGTCACCACTGTCACCATTGTCATCACTGCCACCACTGTCACCACTGTCACCATTGCCACCACTGTCACCATTGTCACCACTGTCACCACTGTCACCACTGTCACCATTGTCACGACTGTCACCACTGTCACCATTGTCACCACTGTCACCACTGTCACCATTGTCACCATTGTCACCACTGTCACCACTGTCACCATTGTCACCACTGTCACCATTGTCACCATTGTCACCAGTCACCATTGTCACCATTGTCACCAGTCACCATTGTCACCATTGTCACCATTGTCACCATTGTCACCAGTCACCATTGTCACCATTGTCACCACTGTCACCATTGTCACCATTGTCACCACTGTCACCATTGTCACCATTGTCACCACTGTCACCATTGTCACCATTGTCACCATTGTCACCAGTCACCATTGTCACCATTGTCACCACTGTCACCATTGTCACCATTGTCACCACTGTCACCATTGTCACCACTGTCACCATTGTCACCATTGTCACCACTGTCACCATTGTCACCACTACCACCATTGTCACCACTGTCACCACTGTCACCACTACCACCATTGTCACCACTGTCACCATTGTCACCATTGTCACCATTGTCACCACTGTCACCATTGTCACCACTACCACCATTGTCACCACTGTCACCACTGTCACCACTACCACCATTGTCACCACTGTCACCATTGTCACCATTGTCACCACTGTCACCACTGTCACCATTGTCACCACTGTCACCACTGTCACCACTGTCACCATTGTCACCACTGTCACCACTGTCACCATTGTCACCACTACCACCACTGTCACCACTGTCACCATTGTCACCACTGTCACCACTGTCACCATTGTCACCACTGTCACCATTGTCACCATTGTCACCATTGTCACCACTGTCACCATTGTCACCATTGTCACCATTGTCACCACTGTCACCATTGTCACCATTGTCACCATTGTCACCATTGTCACCATTGTCACCATTGTCACCACTGTCACCATTGTCACCACTGTCACCATTGTCACCACTGTCACCACTGTCACCATTGTCACCATTGTCACCATTGTCACCATTGTCACCATTGTCACCACTGTCACCATTGTCACCATTGTCACCACTGTCACCATTGTCACCATTGTCACCATTGTCACCACTGTCACCATTGTCACCACTGTCACCATTGTCACCATTGTCACCATTGTCACCACTGTCACCACTGTCACCATTGTCACCATTGTCACCACTGTCACCATTGTCACCACTGTCACCATTGTCACCATTGTCACCACTGTCACCATTGTCACCATTGTCACCACTGTCACCATTGTCACCATTGTCACCACTGTCACCACTGTCACCATTGTCACCATTGTCACCACTGTCACCACTGTCACCACTGTCACCACTGTCACCACTGTCACCACTGTCACCATTGTCACCACTGTCACCACTGTCACCATTGTCACCACTACCACCACTGTCACCACTGTCACCATTGTCACCACTGTCACCACTGTCACCATTGTCACCACTGTCACCATTGTCACCATTGTCACCATTGTCACCACTGTCACCATTGTCACCATTGTCACCATTGTCACCACTGTCACCATTGTCACCATTGTCACCATTGTCACCATTGTCACCACTGTCACCATTGTCACCATTGTCACCACTGTCACCACTGTCACCATTGTCACCACTGTCACCATTGTCACCACTGTCACCACTGTCACCATTGTCACCATTGTCACCATTGTCACCATTGTCACCACTGTCACCATTGTCACCATTGTCACCACTGTCACCATTGTCACCATTGTCACCATTGTCACCACTGTCACCATTGTCACCACTGTCACCATTGTCACCATTGTCACCATTGTCACCACTGTCACCACTGTCACCATTGTCACCATTGTCACCACTGTCACCATTGTCACCACTGTCACCATTGTCACCATTGTCACCACTGTCACCATTGTCACCATTGTCACCACTGTCACCATTGTCACCATTGTCACCATTGTCACCACTGTCACCATTGTCACCATTGTCACCACTGTCACCATTGTCACCATTGTCACCATTGTCACCACTGTCACCAGTCACCATTGTCACCACTGTCACCATTGTCACCACTGTCACCATTGTCACCATTGTCACCACTGTCACCAGTCACCATTGTCACCACTGTCACCATTGTCACCATTGTCACCACTGTCACCACTGTCACCACTGTCATCATTGTCACCATTGTCACCACTGTCACCATTGTCACCATTGTCACCACTGTCACCATTGTCACCATTGTCACCATTGTCACCACTGTCACCATTGTCACCACTGTCACCATTGTCACCATTGTCACCATTGTCACCACTGTCACCACTGTCACCATTGTCACCACTGTCACCAGTCACCATTGTCACCACTGTCACCATTGTCACCACTGTCACCATTGTCACCATTGTCACCATTGTCACCACTGTCACCATTGTCACCACTGTCACCATTGTCACCACTGTCACCATTGTCACCATTGTCACCACTGTCACCATTGTCACCATTGTCACCATTGTCACCATTGTCACCACTGTCACCACTGTCACCATTGTCACCATTGTCACCACTGTCACCATTGTCACCACTGTCACCAGTCACCATTGTCACCATTGTCACCATTGTCACCATTGTCACCATTGTCACCACTGTCACCATTGTCACCATTGTCACCACTGTCACCATTGTCACCATTGTCACCACTGTCACCACTGTCACCATTGTCACCACTGTCACCAGTCACCATTGTCACCACTGTCACCATTGTCACCACTGTCACCATTGTCACCACTGTCACCATTGTCACCACTGTCACCATTGTCACCACTGTCACCACTGTCACCATTGTCACCACTGTCACCATTGTCACCATTGTCACCACTGTCACCACTGTCACCATTGTCACCACTGTCACCATTGTCACCATTGTCACCACTGTCACCACTGCGCTCTCACATCGTCTCTGCTTATCGCTTCACTCTCCTCCTCCTCCACCCCACCACCATCGCTCGCCACTCCTCTCTCATCATCCTCTGCTCTCATTCACCCTCCATGTTACTCATCACCCTCCATGTTACTCATCACCCTCCATGCTACTCATCACCCTCCACTGCCCCTCCCGGCATTGCCTACCCACTATCTTCACTGCTCACCCTCTTCATCACACTCCTTGTTTCCCTTCATCAACCCATGGCAGAAACTATTTGTGATGTCCGTCGTTCCGAGCTGCCCACTATTCGATGCCGTGCCTCCACCAAGTCCCTTTGCCTGAATACCGTCACAAGTGTCGCCAGTTGTGCCGTCTATATCCAACAACCGTTCTTTGTCTGGCATCCCGTTATTTTCCATACGTTATCGCACACATCGCATACAACTACTGATGTTAAAATAGTAAAACATTCTAAGTGCCCTATGTTCAAATGAGCAATGGGTATCAGTCATCTCCACTCAAGGTTCTGAGTCTGCAGTAAAAATACACATTTTGGTTATAGTCCGGGCTAACCAAAGGAATTCCACTAATTTCCCAACAAATACCGTTTTGTAACCTCACAAGGTGGTACTTGTTTTAACTACCTTAGAAGGATGATGGGCCGAGTCAACCCTGACCGAAATCTCACATTTGGCAAGCACGCTCCACCGTCAACTAACCTATTTCCCACTAATGATGAATAATGCTACAGTATTCACGCACGTTACATTGATAAAGGACACCAACAAGGGACTTGAGAATTAACTGTTAGCTCGAACTGCAGTACATTTATTATGAATCTCTAATGATGACAAACATGCCTGTTATTCACCATTATGCCTTCAGGGCTAATACAGGAACTTAAATCAAGAGCTTCCACTCCAGCATGTGCACACTAAAGCTGAAAGACGCTTTGCGTAACAAATTTGGACCAGTCATGACGCAATCGCCAGTCCCTATTATGTAATAAATTTCGACTGCCTTTCCATAATCATAGGCCACAGACATCGCTTTGTGGAACGTGAACAGTGGTCATCCTGCAAAGAAGCTCACACTCTCCATGGGAATGTGGAATTTCCACCACTGGCTCAACGCTGCCAATGGACATGAAAAATAGCGAATAGCTCAGTGGGCTTCACATGGTAAACTAAACAAATACATCAGCAGAGCAGTGGTGTAAACACCATCAATATGGATCCCTGCAGTCACGAAAACTTCAAATCTAGATTACCCACAATAAAAATTAGCCAAATATTAATAACAAACGGCCACATGTTGCAATCGGGAGCGAGGGTATGCAGTCTGAGTGGAGCACACGAGCCAACAATATGCAAGACCTACCCGGCACATCCGATTAGCACGGTTGGCTACGTACGGTGCGAAAGTTCAACATATATACAACTCACCAATTATGATTATCATGTATAGTACGTGTACTTGGTCATGCCAGGCCATGTCAGGCCACAGCATTATCTGCATAGTTCAGTGCTCTTATACCTCATCCCGTCTGATCAGAGGGCGATCCCCTGACCAGACTAGCCAACCAGCCATTGATACTAGCCCTCTGACTGATGATACAATCCCCGTGTCATCCACCAACTCCAGCTTGAAAATACCGAATTACGCAGCACGCGGCAGGTTTAGTGTGAACGCGAGGCCGCCACACAATCAAAAATCAACATCGAGCAATAAAATACACGTGGTCATATCTTTTACTTATGAAAAATCATCACCAGCTTTGATGTATTGCGGAATGAAGGCTCGTTCAAGCCATCGCCATCCCTGCGATGCAACAATCAATCTGGCACCTGTAAACACCGGCTCATTTCATCGCTCCACCTCAGTGGTGGACATCGCCTTCAGCACGACACTTTTGTTGGCTGCACTCTGGAATTGAGTGTCCACCGCTGGCCATCGTCCATTCTAGCAAAGGGTCTTGTCTGAGGCCACCAATGTACTTGCCTTGTGTCAATAGGATCTCCAACTTTGGGGTTTCTCTCTGATCCATGTGTTATTCTCTCTTTCTCTCTCTCTAATTACAAGCATGCACCTCTCCATGCTGCTCTGCACGCTTCAGCGTTTGTTCCATTTTCTTTGTCAATGCGCTTGTTTGTGTGTGAATCAAATACATGTAATATTTGCTGCATCTGTGACATTTGGGTCCCCTAATGAAGTACTGTACTGTATAAAGGACCTGCGTGTATATCCGTGTGATGTATGTAAAAAAAACAGACAATATTTTCTGGCTGCTTTGAAGTCAAAGTATGAAAATGCATCAGCCTATTTCTCCTGAGCACAAAAGTTTAAGAACATTTCCGATCCATTCTATGCATATGTTTAGAAACAATTTCGCTTTCATCAGTTATACATTTTTAATTATAAATATATTACTTTTTTTGGTGCCACCAATCTTAGAAAACCACTGATATCTCATAAAATACAATTGTAGAGATTGACTTTCTTTTTTGGTTGATATTCTGTTGTATTAAGACTAAACGTAATGGTCTAATTCACATCCCTTGCCATGTTATATGACTGAATTATCTTATTGATATATTTCTGCTATCTGCATCTGTTATAGTGTTTTAAAATAAAAGGAGAATCAATACACTCTATATGGTACCGACGTACAAGTTTTGGGCTCCATTGCAGGGCGTGATAATTATGACTCGGTGAAGTAAAGTTTACTGAAACATTCCCTTCTTTCTTTTACGGAATTTTTGTCAGAAATACAAAAAAAACAATCTACAGAATAAATTATGAAATAAAATATTATTTCAATCGTTTTTCAACAAACGCCATTATACAAAGCAAGGTAAACAGTGGGTCCTGGGATATGTGCAGATTTTGAAAAAGTCAAATCAGTTTAAAAGGCGATTGTGTGATCAAATTGTGTTTTTATCATGCAAAAATAATGCTATGCTTTTCATGCGCATTGCCTCTAACATACTTGGAGGTAATTACATAAAGTCTTACATTTTAACACTGCACTCCAAATGTGCCTTATGCCTGTTTCGTTTGTATCGTAGCAACTGTTTTTTATATATATGACAACTGACCATGGTTTCAGTCCATCAATTACTGCTGCAAATTAGAGATAAGGCAGGATCATGTCAAATTGATTCGGAATTAATTGCAGACAATCATGAAGATAGCTGTGCTCTGACCGAAGCTGTGAGATATTCAAGCTATGTTGCCAATTAAATTACAGGACATTGTTTTTACATTATACCCATATGTTAAAGCAGGTCATATGGACTCACTGAAATCCCTCTGTTTGAGGCAACCGTGTATTTCACTATTCATTACCATGTTCAGTTTTCCAAAATAACTCCATCCTGCTCTCGTCTGCCGATATTATACCGCTCTCATTGATATTCATAAACAATTGAAGTATGAACAATGAGAGGCACACAGAAATGAAACGCCTCAACCATGGAATGATGACTCAATCATTATTCTATTCAAAAAGGGCGATACAATTGAATTGAAGAAATTGACTTTTTTACATACCATAACCTAATAAAAAAATCATAATAGGCTAATCATAGACTCGTACCTTTCATACAAAGTTGAATGTGAAAACTATACAAATAATACAGTATTAATTAATTTAATCAATATTATTTGCTTTGATTGGTGAGAAGCATAAGCGATGGTTTGCTTGTAACAACCATGCCCACACACACAATACAGGGATGCAAGCAATCTGTGATAATTCACAGAAAACACAAAAGAGGAATACCACAAAAATGATTTATTTTGTCTTTTCTGAGTTCATAATTAAATTGTGAACTCAGCTTGGCTTGTAATTACGGCGGTGGTGAAGCTGCGCAAATCGAATTATCACGAACGGACGGACTCTCCGAAGCCCACAAGTAATGGAGTGATGAACCGAGCAGACCCTCGCAATAAACAGCAAAGTCAACCTTCAAGAATTAAATTTTTGGGTCAGATCACCACGTAATTAAACGATGTGTTGTAAACCCTCCTCCACCCGACACGGCCAATTCATGAAGTTGTTGTCGGGTGGAGGACGCTTAATGTCACAAATGATTAATCTTGATATCGGTGGCGAAAGCCCTCGTGTTAAAGTCGACCTTACCCCTGCCTGACGACCATCGAACAGTTGTTCCAAAGTGCACCCCGCACGCCGTAAACACGCCGATGAAATAAGAGCGTCTGCCGTGCAGCCATAACAGCGGCGGCGGCGGCGGCAGCCGCGGCGATCACACGGAGGTCACTCGGAGGTCACTCGGAGGTCACTCGGAGGTCACTCGGAGGCGAGCGTGAGCACGTCGACGGCGCCGCTTGGCCCGCCGCACACCCCTCCGATGGCGTACAGCTCGCCAGGCGTCTGCAGTGTGCTGCAGGCGGCGCGCGGTGTGGGCATCTTGCCCGCCGGCGCCCAGCATTTCGTGTCGGGGTCCAGCACCTCGGTTGAGGCCAGCGGATGACCTCCGACACCTGCAACCGGTATGAGAAGGTGACGGAGGAGACGAAGCCACCAAACGTCTGGGAGGCGAGTGGCGGCCTCCTCGCTCGTTCTGACGTTCACGCAGCCCAGCACTCACAGACCCTGCCCACTTCTCTCTCTGCCAACTCCGCTCACTAATCAGGTGGCCAGCCCTTTTACCCGTACCTCGAGATTGCACGTCCTTTGCGCCACGGCAGCTATAACAGTTGCATAATGGCACAGTTTTAGTCCTGTCTACCACAAACTCATCCAACTTGATCCATGCAATTTAACAGGAGGTCTGACGCAGGAATGAGCTGGCCTCAGCCTGCAAAGAAGGCAACTGGCTCTGCCGCATTGTGTTTGAATAACACATGGCAGGCGAAGCCATTTCCTTCAACAAATGAAAAATGAAAGAGTCCGCCCTGTTGTGAATGTGGAGAAGTGGGATCTGCCGATCACAGGAGGCACGGATACCATACAGCAAAGAACTCCTAATGCCATGGAAAGGACTCAACGCACAGTTATAATATTTTGCCATTTCCTCTTCAAATGCTGCACGAAAGAGAGATACATTTCAGTGTTACTCACCGAGACCGCCAGCCACCACCACCTTCCCTCCCAAAGTTCCCATCACAAAATCTGCTCGCTGCTCCTTGAGGCTCTGCTCTCTGGTCAGGGCCACCCACTCGCCTATGGGAGGACAGACGTACACACACACACAAAAGCCTGTGGCACTTGGCAACACACAGCTCACAACAGAATTAACCATCAGTGGCGATAATTGCCACAAACAGCTGATTTACACATGCACGTTTGCATTTAATGTACACGTCTAATAACTCCCTATAACTGACACAGCAGTGGATTGACAGAGGGCTGTAAAAATTCAACAGGCTGCCTATTATTCCAAAGACCAGACGTTGTTGTTCTACGGGAGACGAGAGCTTTCTGCAGCCAGGCTCTGAGATTGTGGAATTCCCTTCCTTCGTCCATAAGGGAATCTGAGTGAGTTACGCTCTTCAATTTGCATCTTAAAACTCACCTGTTTTTACAACAGCCTTTTTCATAACTGAAGCTTAACGTAAAGCGTTTTGAGGCCTTGTGCTAGCAGCGCGACAGAAAACCGAGTTTGTTTGTATTATTGTTGTTATTGATTTCCCATCCTCCGCGGTGTTGGAGGGGTGCTCTCGCCTGCGACACCAGACAACCCAGCGGCTTCATAGGCCGCACAAATCCTGATGAGGTGTGTAACGTCAAACTTGGCCCAAGGATTGACCGATTAACAAAATACTGCTGGAAAATACTGGTACGAAAGACCCATTGGGGCAATGGGGTCTCATGGTCAATTAACTTAATTTGTGTGGTGAAAAACCAATCCGTAACGCATTTACTTACGATTATATACTGTTTATTCAAATGTCGTAATTGACTAACTCTCACACTCCAGCCGTTACACCCCTGACACTCGGTTGATTCTTCACTGTAAAACTATTGTCTAATTGTCACCAAATGAAAAACAAAGGTAAGCGTTTACATGATGAGCAGAATAGTTTGACAAGCCTGAATAGGCACTGTGGTTGCGAGATGTTAACTACCTAGCTTGGTATACTGTACTACATAATTTTGTGGGTTCGATCCTGACCCCAATGCTAATATATTTTGAGTTTGCATGTCTCTCTCCCCGTGGTGACGTAGATTTTTCTCTGGGTCCTCCCGGTGTTCCTGACACATTTAGAGACATGCGTTTAGATTGTATGGCTGCTATAATTGTCCACGTGATAAGCCACTTTATTGAGCTATAATTTGTGGCCAAACTGCTTCTCAAAAAGTGCTATATAGCTCAGTGGGTCATACCTGGTAAATTCTAGATTTGAAGCTTTCGTGACTGCAAGGATCCATACTCTTTGGTTCTATTCGGTAAAGTCGCGTAGGTAAAAATAAAATAACAAAAATCACGACGTTTCGGCCACAACACAAGTGGCCTTCATCAGGTGAAGGGACAAGACTGTCTGGAGGGCAGCGTTGGAGTGAAGACAGCCAAGCCCAGGTCGTGTCCTTTAAGCCTGTTGTCGCGGCATCTTTTGAGGAAGGTCAGCGTCTCCATGAGCTTTGACTTCTTGTCCCGTTGTCTGTTGAAAGCTCTAACAGATAGGTGAAAGCCCTCCCCGTAGAGGTTATCAATTCTGGATTTGAAGCTTTCGTGACTGGAAGGATCCATACTCTTTGGTTGTATTCGGTAAAGTCACATCTGTGAGAGCTTCCAACAGACAACGGGACAAGAAGTCAAAGCTCATCGAGACGCTGACATTCCTCAAAAGATGCCGCGACAACACAGCTTAAAGGACGCGACCTGGGCTTGGCTGTCTTCACTCCAACGCTGCCCTCCAGACAGTCTCGTCCCTTCACCTGATGAAGGCCACTTGTGTTGTGGCCGAAACGTCGTGATTTTTGTTATTTTATTTTTACCTACGTGACTTTACCGAATAGAACCAAAGAGTATACCTGGTAAAATAAAAAGTGTATAGCTTATGGAGAGCCAATGGCAAAGTGGTGATCCATTCCATGGCATCAGGAGTTCCTTGCTGTATAGCGTCCATACCATGTGTCAATAAAACGCAATCAAGTGCAACCAGCTCCAAAAAAGGGCTACATAGCTAAGCAGGGGCCTTACCTGATAAAATAAAATAAAAAGTAGATTTAGTTTCAACTAAAGCAAGGGCTCGCTACCGCTACCCGCGACGGCGACTCACTCTGCCGCACGTCGAACGCGTGCACGGCGCTGGTGAAGGTGGGGTGCGCGTGGCGGGCGCGCGCCGCCGGCGGCGGCGGCACCACTCCCCCTGCGGTGACGATGAGCCGCCCTGTGGCGCCGTGGTTCTGGAAGACGTGCGACGCGGGGAGCTCGGGCAGACTCGCCCACGACCTCGTCTCCAGGTCAAGGCATTCCAGCGACGTGACCGCCCGCTTGTCCTGCCGGCCACCTGGGGACACCGGAGGTCAAAGGTCACGGCCGAGCGGTGGTGCCTTTGGCGCTTCCTGCAGAGGTTCGCGATCGTTCGAGCGACGCGGCCGCCCCGTTACAACCGCAAAGACGTCCGAGTCAGGACGATTTTTAACATCCGCTGCGAAACGATTTGAAAAAGTGCGGACGTCTTATTCATTCCTCATTGTCACAACGTCAATGCGATTGCGGCGCGTATAAATATTCTTCGCAACGGGGGGCGATGAGCCACCGCCGCGGCGATAACCACCACGCCTCGGCTCAGCAGCGGCAAAATGAGCATTGTGCGGAGTTGCTGCGTGTGGCTTTCGCTTCTTAATTATAGCGGTGGGTAATCTCTCCTGGTGGGGGGGGGGGGGGGGGGGGGTGACTCAGCCACAGATGCACATCACCTCCCGCCTCCCCCATTTCCTCTCCTCCGGCAATGATCAGGGCTGATCCTCACCTTCCGAGTCGGTGGGGGGGGGGGGGGGGGGGGTGGGAGGGGACGGGGGACAGGGGGAAAGGCGTCGTGTCCCTTGCACATGCAGCGGATTGTGCGTCAACAGTTCGTCAACAGTTCGTCAACAGTTCGCTGGAGGGTGCTACCGGCCTGACAAACGGTGCAGCCGAGCACTGCGACGAGGAAGCAGCGTCCTTGGTCTTTGTGATCCGTCGATATCCCCATCGGACGGTGTAACGGTCAGCACACTGTACCTGCACACTGGACCTGCAACCTGGACCTGCAACCTGGAGGTGGCCGGTCCGATTCCATCTCTTGTTCACCCGGCATTACACATGGGTGCACCACAGTTCGTCGATTGGCAGGTCGCAGTTTGGTGGGGTAAAGAGTATGGCTGCTCTCACCTCTTCCAAGAGGTCTGGACAGCGTTGAAGAGAAGTCAAATATCCTCTAGAGGGGCTCTCTGGAGCTGCACCTTTACCTGTACTCACAGACATCTGATTTCTGTAATTCGACTGTTAAATTGACCTGTTCCAATAAAAGCCAAAATGATGGCTGCCTATGTCAACATATAGTGTCTCGTAGGAGTCAGGCTTGTTTGAATCAATGCGAGCAGCTTTCACCAGCAGTTCAGCATTGTGACAAGCAGGGCCGACTCTGCTGACGAGACGCCCTACATCGAAACGGGTCCAGATTTTGCTCATCGCGAGGCCGTGGGCGGCGCGCGGGTACCCACCGATGACGTAGATTTTGCCGTCGATGAGGAAGGCCCCTGCGGCGTAGCGGGGCGTGGGCATCGGTGGCATTGCTACCCAGCGATCCTGCGCCTCCACGTACTCGAGTACGCTGCTGTGGCAGCTGGAGTTGGGCCCCATGCCCCCGATCACGAACACCTTCCCTTCTGCGCGCCATCAGACACGCGCGCACGTCTCGAATTTCGACGCACGCAGCCGAGGTGGCCGGGTGGCGGCCCCAGGGGTCAGGGACACTGAGACAGCACCGCTCCGAGATGCAGCGCTCGAACGTGGGTGTCCACCGTTCCGTCATCCTAATTCGGGTTTCTCAAGTGCAGCGAGCCGATGGTCTCAGCCCGGTCACCAATGGCTGTGCAGAGAACCCAGCGAAATTAAATTTGGCCGTGTGCTTAGTTTGGTTATTGTTGCTTTTTCCCTGTATTATTTTGGTGCTTTACATTTCCACGTGGTAAGCCACTTCGTTGGGCTATGATTTGTGGCCAGGTCGCTTCTCAAAAAGAAGCTAATAGCTCAGTGGGCTTCACCTGGTGTGGGTGAGCTGGTAGTATAGTTTTATTTGTAATGTTTTTTCGTCATTTCACTTTTCTGATACTTTGCGCTCCTATCATGTTTTTGTAATGTTTGTTGTTGTAACGTTCTGACCCGCCCCAACTGGAAAAAAGAGCTCATCGGATTCCTCCAGTATAAATAAATATCCTGATTCTGATACTTGTCATTGGTTAAATTCCAGCTGTGAGAATGAAACATGTCAGTTCTGAGTGCCATATGAAGAACATTCCTCACAGTAAACGCGTGGGAGGGTGAAAGTGCACTCCCGGCAGTAATACAAAGTAACGGCACTGTAAGGGATTTCAGATGAAGTTTGATGAAAACTCGTCCCACAGGTGGTTGCCTAACACACAGGATGAGCCTGCTGCTCTGTGAGTTGCGAATGGCTACGTTGCTGCGAGGATGACCGCAGGTGTCGTGGTGATGGTTTAGCCTCCTTGGCCACAGTCTTATCGACGAATGGCGATAGTTCATTACGGTTGTTGTGGCCCTGGCTGAGCGATCCCGAGTGGCAACTCAATCTCAACGAGAGGTGACAGGAAACCCGGGTCAAGGTGGCCACAGACGAGGTCATTGGTGCCAATCGTCAGGGCAAGGCGTTACAAAGAGCAAGGCAAATAAACCACAACACCTTCCTGATCTCATCAAGGAACATAAACCATCACACGAACTCTGGGCATCCTCGCAGCAGCGGCTTTTGGCTAACCATCTAAGAAAGGTGGTCACTGCATAGCGAGCTCTCAGATGCGCTTCTGCAGGCCGGCTGGAATGCTCTTCCTTATGATATTAGGAATTCAGTCGGAGATATGTACTTTTAAATCATCTAGATTGAAAAGTCATTTCTTTAGAACAGCTATTTGTGTTTAGTTTGTTTATCCTTCCTCCGCACCTTCGATTAGCACGGTTGGCTACGTACGGTGTGAAAGTAGATGAACAAATGTATGTTGAACTTCTTTCGCGCCGTACGTAGCCACCCGTGCTAATCATACGTACAAGGGCTTGGTGATATGGGCTGAGCAGAACAACTGTTGAAAGTGAGCGGGCTTGGGCAGGACACAGTCACGGCGAGGAAGAGACGATGGACGATGGTCAAGACGAGTGAAGGAATAGCAGCCAAAGGAGGGAAGAGAACGCGCCTGAGAGGTCCAGCAGTGCGGAGATGGAGCGGTAACATCAGCTAGAGAGCACGCAGCAGCAGGAGCAGCGCGATGGATTGTGGCATTGCAGAGCTGTGAGGGTTGGTTATAGATGTAGGGGAAGCATTCATGCTGCAGTGGATAGAGAGTGGGTGACTGTGGATAGAGTGACCGTGGATAAGGTGACTGTGGATAGAGTGTGGGTGACTGTGGATAGAGTGACCGTGGATAAGGTGACTGTGGATAGAGTGACTGTGGATAGAGAGTGGGTGACTGTGGATAGAGTGACCGTGGATAAGGTGACTGTGGATAGAGTGACTGTGGATAGAGAGTGGGTGACTGTGGATAGAGAGTGGGTGACTGTGGATAGAGTGACTGTGGATAGAGTGACCGTGGATAGAGTGACTGTGGATAGCGTGACCGTGGATAGAGTGACTGTGGATAGAGAGTGGGTGACTGTGGATAGAGTGACTGTGGATAGAGTGACTGTGGATAGAGTGACCATGGATAGAGAGTGGGTGACTGTGGATAGAGTGACTGTGGATAGGTGACTGTGGATAGAGTGACTGTGGATAGAGTGACCGGGGATAGAGTGACTGTGGATAGAGTGACCGTGGATAGAGTGACCGTGGATAGAGTGTGGGTGACTGTGGATAGAGTGACTGTAAATAGAGTGACTGTGGATAGAGTGACTGTGGATAGAGAGTGGGTGACTGTAGATAGAGTGACTGTGGATAGAGTGACTGTGGATAGAGTGACCGTGGATAGAGAGTGGGTGACTGTGGATAGAGTGACCGTGGATAGGGTGACTGTGGATAGAGTGACTGTGGATAGAGTGACTGTGGATAGAGTGTGGGTAACTGTGGATAGAGTGACTGTGGATAGAGAGTGGGTGACTGTGGATAGAGTGACTGTGGATAGAGTGACTGTGGATAGAGAGTGGGTGACTGTGGATAGAGTGACTGTGGATAGAGTGACTGTGGATAGAGTGACTGTGGATAGAGTGACTGTGGATAGAGAGTGGGTGACTGTGGATAGAGTGACCGTGGATATAGTGACTGTGGATAGAGTGACTGTGGATAGAGTGACTGTGGATAGAGTGACTGTGGATAGAGAGTGGGTGACTGTGGATAGAGTGACTGTGGATAGAGTGACTGTGGCTAGAGAGTGGGTGACTGTGGGTGACTGTGGATAGAGTGACTGTGGATAGAGTGACTGTGGATAGAGTGACTGTGGATACAGAGTGGGTGACTGTGGGTGACTGTGGATAGAGTGTGGGTGACTGTGGGTGACTGTGGATAGAGTGACTGTGGATAGAGTGACTGTGGATAGAGTGACCATGGATAGAGAGTGGGTGACTGTGGATAGAGTGACTGTGGATAGGTGACTGTGGATAGAGTGACTGTGGATAGAGTGACCGTGGATAGAGTGACCGTGGATAGAGAGTGGGTGACTGTGGATAGAGTGACCGTGGATAGGGTGACTGTGGATAGAGTGACTGTGGATAGAGTGACTGTGGATAGAGTGACCGTGGATAGAGTGACTGTGGATAGAGTGACTGTGGATAGAGTGACCGTGGATAGAGTGACTGTGGATAGAGTGACCGTGGATAGAGTGTGGGTGACTGTGGATAGAGTGACTGTAGATAGAGTGACTGTAAATAGAGTGACTGTGGATAGAGAGTGGGTGACTGTAGATAGAGTGACTGTGGATAGAGTGACTGTGGATAGAGTGACCGTGGATAGAGAGTGGGTGACTGTGGATAGAGTGACCGTGGATAGGGTGACTGTGGATAGAGTGACTGTGGATAGAGTGTGGGTGACTGGATAGAGTGACTGTGGATAGAGAGTGGGTGACTGTGGATAGAGTGACTGTGGATAGAGTGACTGTGGATAGAGAGTGGGTGACTGTGGATAGAGTGACTGGATAGAGTGACTGTGGATAGAGTGACTGTAGATAGAGTGACCGTGGATAGAGTGACTGTGGATAGAGTGACCGTGGATAGAGAGTGGGTGACTGTGGATAGAGTGACCGTGGATAGAGTGACCGTGGATAGAGTGACTGTGGATAGAGTGACTGTGGATAGAGTGACCGTGGATAGAGTGACTGTGGATAGAGTGACCGTGGATAGAGTGTGGGTGACTGTGGATAGAGTGACTGTAGATAGAGTGACTGTAAATAGAGTGACTGTGGATAGAGAGTGGGTGACTGTAGATAGAGTGACTGTGGATAGAGTGACTGTGGATAGAGTGACCGTGGATAGAGAGTGGGTGACTGTGGATAGAGTGACCGTGGATAGGGTGACTGTGGATAGAGTGACTGTGGATAGAGTGACTGTGGATAGAGTGTGGGTGACTGGATAGAGTGACTGTGGATTGAGAGTGGGTGACTGTGGATAGAGTGACTGTGGATAGAGTGACTGTGGATAGAGAGTGGGTGACTGTGGATAGAGTGACTGTGGATAGAGTGACTGTGGATAGAGAGTGGGTGACTGTGGATAGAGTGACTGTGGATAGAGTGACTGTGGATAGAGAGTGGGTGACTGTGGGTGACTGTGGATAGAGTGACTGTGGATAGAGTGACTGTGGATAGAGAGTGGGTGACTGTGGGTGACTGTGGATAGAGTGTGGGTGACTGTGGGTGACTGTGGGTGACTGTGGATAGAGTGTGGGTGAGTGTGGGTGACTGTGGGTGACTGTGGGTGACGATGCACTCTGGAGGGATTTTTGAGGATCGTGCAGATGCACCAAGGTTGAGAGTTCAGAGCTGAGATGCACTGTGACAGCACTGTGCATGACATCTCGATGCACTTCGATTCCTAGACGTACGGATGCAATGTCGAGGTCTAGAGTCAGTCACATGGATAGTTAAATCGCAACGGATGATGAGGCAGATACACCGTGTTTAGATACATGCGCAATGACTGGAACACATTTATGCGGAGGGAGCTGGTAGGAACGTTGGGTTGCTCGGTCAATGGCCAGGGTCAACGGCGGCACCACGTGGTGTGTTCCGCAAATATGCCCGACTGTGAGGGCGGGCACAAGCCGGCGTGAGTAGGTTAAACGTTGAGTTTTATAAGGGCACCACGGGGTGACCAGCCCCTCCCCACCCAGCCCCTCCCCACCCTCCCCACCCAGCCCCTCCCCACCCTCCCCACCCAGCCACTCCCCACCCCTCCCACCCCCCACCCAGCCCCACCCTACCAACCCAACCCCACCCAGCCCCACGCGCACCAGCTCACCCACACGCGCACCAGCTCACCCACACGCGCACCAGCTCACCCACACGCGCACCAGCTCACCCACACGCGCACCAGCTCACCCACACGCGCACCAGCTCACCCACACGCGCACCAGCTCACCCACACGCGCACCAGCTCACCCACACGCGCACCAGCTCACCCACACGCGCACCAGCTCACCCACACGCGCACCAGCTCACCCACACGCGCACCAGCTCACCCACACGCGCACCAGCTCACCCACACGCGCACCAGCTCACCCACACGCGCACCAGCTCACCCACACGCGCACCAGCTCACCCACACGCGCACCAGCTCACCCACACGCGCACCAGCTCACCCACACGCGCACCAGCTCACCCACACGCGCACCAGCTCACCCACACGCGCACCAGCTCACCCACACGCGCACCAGCTCACCCACACGCGCACCAGCTCACCCACACGCGCACCAGCTCACCCACACGCGCACCAGCTCACCCACACGCGCACCAGCTCACCCACACGCGCACCAGCTCACCCACACGCGCACCAGCTCACCCACACGCGCACCAGCTCACCCACACGCGCACCAGCTCATTCACACGCGCACCAGCTCACCCACACGCGCACCAGCTCACCCACACGCGCACCAGCTCACCCACACGCGCACCAGCTCACCCACACGCGCACCAGCTCACCCACACGCGCACCAGCTCACCCACACGCGCACCAGCTCACCCACACGCGCACCAGCTCACCCACACGCGCACCAGCTCACCCACACGCGCACCAGCTCACCCACACGCGCACCAGCTCACCCACACGCGCACCAGCTCACCCACACGCGCACCAGCTCACCCACACGCGCACCAGCTCACCCACACTGGCACCAGCTCACCCACCGTGTGTCACCACAGTGGCCACCCCCATGCTGGGCTCCGGCAGGGGCTGCGCGCTCCTCCATCGACCCTCGTCCTCCGCGAACACCACCACCTCCTTGAGCGGCCTCTGCCCGGGGTCCACCCCACCCAGCACCATCAGCAGCCGGGGCCGTCCTCCCTGCGCCCGCGGGGTCACGACCGAGGCCCCGGCCCGAGGCGCCGGCAGCGGCGGCAGAGGGAGCCAGCGGGCGGCGCCGTGGTCCCACCGCTCCGCCACGGCGAGCGGCGTCCCGCGGCCGTCGCAGCCGCCCAGGGCGCAGATTTCCCCGGCGCAGCGGAGCTGCCCAAGCGCGCAGTAAACCCTCGGGGTGGGCATGGGCGGCAGCGACTTCCAGCGCAAGGCGCAGCAGCGCGGCTCTGCTGGTGATGCTTCGGCCATGCCCTCGCTGGCGGTGGTGGTGGCGTGAGTGTGGTTTGGGTTGTTGATAATGATCGTGGTGGAAGGTGTGGTGGTGATGGTGGTAGCGTAGCAGGAGGCGTAGAGTGGTAGTAATAGTAGTAGTGGTGGAAGTAGTAGTTGCGGTAGCAGTAGTAGAAGTGGTTGGTGGTGGTGGTGGTAGTAGCAGTAGTGGTGCTGATGGTAGTCGTGGTTTTTGGAAGCGCCTTACCTTCCTCGTGCGCGCCTCTTCCTGGATTGCGCAACGGCAACGCGAGACGGATGATGACGGTGGTGGTGATGGTGGTAATGATGGTGGTAATGATGGTGATGATGGTGGTGATGATGGTGGTGATGATGGTGGTGATGATGACGGTGGTGGTGATGATGACGGTGGTGGTGATGATGACGGTGGTGGTGATGGTGGTGGTGGTGATGATGGTGGTGATGATGATGATAGTGGTGATGATGATGGTGGTGGTGATGGTGGTGATGATGATGGTGATGATGATGGTGGTGGTGATGGTGGTAATGATGATGATGGTGGTGGTGATAATGATGGTGGTGGTGGTGATGATGATGATGGTGGTGGTGATGATGGTGGTGGTGATGATGGTGGTGGTGGTGGTGGTGATGATGACGGTGGTGGTGATGATGACGGTGGTGGTGATGATGACGGTGGTGGTGATGATGATGATGATGGTGGTGATGATGATGGTGGTGGTGATGGTGGTGATGATGATGGTGATGATGATGGTGGTGGTGGTGGTGATGGTGGTAATGATGATGGTGGTGGTGATAATGGTGGTGGTGATGATGATGATGGTGGTGGTGGTGGTGATGATGATGGTGGTGATGATGGTGGTGGTGATGGTGGTGATGATGATGATGGTGATGATGATGATGGTGGTGGTGATGATGATGGTGATGATGGTGGTGGTGATGATGATGACGGTGGTGGTGATGGTGATGATGGTGGTGGTGATGCTGCTGGTGGTGGTGATGATGGTGGTGGTGGTGGTGGTGATGATGGTGGTGGTGGTGATGATGATGATGGTGGTGGTGGTGATGATGATGGTGGTGATGATGGTGGTGGTGATGATGGTGGTGATGATGGTGGTGGTGGTGGTGATGATGGTGGTGGTGGTGATGATGGTGGTGGTGATGATGATGGTGGTGGTGGTGATGATGATGGTGGTGATGATGATGCTGGTGGTGATGGTGGTGGTGATGATGATGGTGATGATGATGGTGGTGGTGATGATGATGATGGTGGTGGTGATGGTGGTGATGATGATGGTGGTGATGATGGTGGTGGTGGTGATGATGGTGGTGATGATGGTGGTGATGATGGTGGTGGTGGTGATGATGATGGTGGTGGTGATGATGATGGTGGTGGTGGTGATGATGGTGGTGATGATGGTGGTGATGATGGTGGTGGTGATGGTGGTGGTGATGGTGGTGGTGATGATGATGATGATGGTGGTGATGATGGTGGTGGTGATGATGATGATGGGGTGGTGATGATGATGGTGGTGGTGGTGATGATGATGATGGTGGTGGTGGTGATGATGGTGATGGTGGTGGTGATGATGGTGGTGGTGGTGATGGTGGTGGTGATGATGGTGGTGGTGATGATGATGATGGTGGTGGTTATGATGGGGTGGTGATGATGATGGTGGTGGTGGTGATGATGGTGGTGGTGGTGATGATGGTGGTGATGATGGTGGTGGTGATGATGATGGTGGTGGTGATGATGATGGGGTGGTGATGATGATGGTGGTGGTGATGATGATGGGGTGGTGGTGAAAATGGTGGTGATGGTGGTGGTGATGATGATGGTGGTGATGATGATGATGGTGGTGGTGATGGTGGTGATGATGATGATGATGGTGGTGGTGGTGATGATGATGATGGTGGTGGTGATGATGATGGTGGTGGTGATGATGATGGTGGTGGTGGTGATGATGATGATGGTGGTGGTGATGATGGTGAGGGGGTCACAGTTGGAGGTTCCGTGAATTCACTTTGCTGTTGATGTTCGTCTCGCTCTCACCACACCACAGCTGTCAATCCACACGGTTCACCACGTATCCTTGGACGTGGACATTGAGTTTTTAGGTCCATACGGCGTACAGCCGTTTGAATACGGGCACAAACTTTTTGTTGTCTGTGTTTGTGTTTCTCCCTCGTCATGGGACTTTGGAGGATGAACGTTGAAATGTACAAGGTATGAATTAGTCTATTAACTTAGGCAATGATAATGAGTTTAAAGCGATGCCACGCGCGGACCTGCCCATAACATCGCTGTCACATCTGCCCACTTGTAAAGTGAGTTTAAGAAGCAAATGCATTTAGGCACCAAAAATAAATGCACTCTTCTATTCCATGCGAGTAAACCAATACGTCAATTCGCGTCTCGTGCACGTGGTCAACAGCCAATAACCAAGACGACAAATCGCCCGGAAGGCACCCGAGCTTTTAACAGAATGGATACCCGAGGTCAGCAGAGCCGAGCGCGCGTAGTGCGTGGATGGGTGCGCGACCAACTCCCACTCCCAGGTTGTCGGAAGCAGATGCACGGCTGTGCCCCGCGGTGGTCAGCAGAGGGCAGTGCAGCAAGGCCCATATTGTTGTGCCAGTTAAAAGGGTAAAACCTATTCCTGTACCAAGGCCCATATTGTTGTGCCAGTTAAAAGGGTAAAACCTATTCCTGTACCAAGGCCCATATTGTTGTGCTGCACGTGGGCGCTTCCCACCTCTTTTACTCCTCGCCTCCTCGCCACACCCGCACCGACCAGCGTGGGTCAGCGGTCAAATAACGGCCACAAGTCACGCGGCGTGGGAAGGGCCTCGTCTAGCAGTGGACACCAGGGGGGGGGGGCAGACTGTGTGCAGAAGCGATGGTACCCAGCTGGGTGGCGGCAGTAGGAGACGTCACAGGTGGCACATTTTAGTAAGCGGACTTCAATTCCCGGTCGGTCGAGGGTTAAACTCAACCCTGCACACATCCCGGGCTAATGTAAGGAAAACCACTTTATAGCCACTGCAACAGCGGTTGTTCTGAGACAAGCCTCGCACCCGCCAAAGGAATGGGGAATTCCCACCACTGGTTTAGGTTTGTCAACAGATTGAGTGGGATGTCACACAGTTGTCACGTTTTCACAGCAGACTGTACCGAATCACAAAAGATTAAAATCGCCTGTCATAAAACATCGATCGTCTGTTTTTCAGTTGACACAGGGGACACGTTTGCTGTTCAGCCCGAACTTTCTACAAATGTTAATGAACTGGGCGCAGCCGTCAGGGCGACTCCAGCTCGCACTGCCAACGAGACTCTGCGGGCCGCACGGCGCGACTGTGAGATCATCCGCGCCAGCGCTGTTGCAGCACCAGCGCAATTGAGAAAAATGTCCAAACCGCTTATCCAAAGTGCAGGTGCGAATCGTCCACACTGACAAATTGTGTAGACCCCCCTCCCTCGAGGCAACTGAGTGTGCCCATCCCTCCTTGCCTGCGAGTGTCAGTATTTGTTAAGTTCCGCCCACCGAGTGAAACCAACCGCGACAATCGTTGAGCAGTTCCGACATTGTCGGCGAGATGTCAGGCACTGGCTGGCCTCCACCCCGGAGGGCACACGCGAGCCTCAAGGGCGAAAATGCCCACTTTGATCGCCGTGGGTGTCACAGTCGGCCGGGAACACAAAGCGCTCGCCCCGACAAGTGTCGTGGAATTGCTGAACTCTGGCCAACAGCCAGAGGCAACGTACATATGAATATACAGGTTGCTTCAAAAAATGTTAACACTTCGGAGAATTTGCGACGATACCACACGAAATGTGCTGCCTTCCGAGCTCTGAAGACCACCTAGAGAAGATTCCAGGCACGTGTTGACAATGATGGCGAACAAATGGAGACTACTTGAAGCTATTCACATACATCTGTTATGTTACAGTGTAGTAATATCCATTCTTTTTCCATGAATAACAAAAGGCCCATATAAGTGTTAACATTTTTTTTGAACCACCCTGTACTTGAGAGGTCAGGTCCCTTTGAAGTGTGGAGGCAAACTGAAAGGGTTAATAGTTACTGTGGGGGGCACCCCCCCCCCTCACCCACCCACCCACACACTCTCCTCATCTTCACTCGTTGTTGCCCACTGCTCTGGCACCTTGCCCGGGCGATTATTCACCATGCCGACTACCGATGCACAATGTTGGCTCATGATCGACTGCCGGAGATTAATGGCTCCACGTTATTAAAGAATACCCATGTAATTATAGCGCAAACAAGAGACATTCGCTTAGAAGACCTGCCAAAACATTCCATCACTGTCGTTATTATCATTGATGAACATAAGGTAACCTCAAGCAACCACAAAACTATAAATTATCTGTGGAAAGACCTGCACTCTGACTTAAACCAAGCCGTTGAAGTCCCATGCCCCACTAAAACCATTCACTACAAAACACCGCTGTACTTGAAAAGACCAATATTAAAACCCTTGCCTACACAAATCCTTCACTACTAAACCCTCTACACAATTCCCGCACTATGATTGCATGTTCTCCTTACCGCTATATAATAAAATCACATTTAAACTGTAAATTATCATTTGTATTCACTATACGGTGTTAAGATTTAGACGTTCACACAGCATGCAACTGGAAGCTCGCTTCCTTTTGGCTTTGGTGTCGCACTCTTCCTAAAAGGACGCGAGACACGGAGTTGTTGAAAATTTTATATTTGAATTCAGCACCCTTCAAAACCGCCAAATGTAAACGTTCGCAGGCCGAGTTTTAAAAACAAAACGCTCAAATATTTGCACTTTAATTTTGAGTGGCCCAAAAAACCAGAAATGTAGCTTAACGGATTTGTTTAATGTGACAGTACATATTGATTCGCTGGCCTTCAAAACCTCCAGATACAAACTCTTGTAGGCTTAAGGCTTAACATCAACCATGACACAGCATTAACATGTTCTCCCAGCAATTTCAGGGGGGAATGTCCGTATGCTTGTCGAACTTCTTCGCACGTACATAGCTAATCGGCGGTGCAGGGGAAGCACAATAACCTAAACACAAACACATGGGCCCAAATACTCCCCCCCCCCAGATTATAAGCACGGACGTGACTATATTTGTGCCACATTTCAGCTCACTCGCCCTTCTAAAAACACAATTCGACTTTACGTCAGCCACGAGCGATTGTTGTGCATGGAAGCCAGCTCAGGCGAGATGTCACAGGTGCGCGAGGGTCGGTGTCGTGCAACGTGAAGCGACTCTTCTCCCACATTGCTCCTGCCAGCATTACAAGTACAACAGCACAGCACTTGTTCTCACCACGCATTCACTTGACGGACCAACGTGGATGTACCGAGTCTCGTGTGGAATGGTCGCTGTGTACACGAAAGGCGACGTGTACACTAGGTGGCAACAGAGGCACCTACGGAGAACGTCAAGGAGGCAGCAACGCGTAGGGTTTGCCGATGGGTTTGCACATTGTTCATTTGTTGACAATATATAATCTCCCAACAGCATTTCCTGCAGTGTTCAAAACAAGTTCACAATGCTGCTGCCTTTGTCCACCCGTTTCGCTTTTGGATTCTCCAAATGCCCGACAGCACCAAATCCTTTACTTAAAAACAACAACAACCCACGCTCTCTGCACAAGGTCATTGTTGGTGAAACAAAGCAACGATTATTTTATTGGTAAATATTTTATTTTTGTATTTTTTTAAGAGCAGACACGTAGGGTACGGAAGGAGAGCATACACATCTCGGGAAACAGATGTTCACCTATCATGGTAAAGACACGACATCCTGTGTTACCTGGTCAGCTACAATTGCTTATTTGGGGGGGGGGGGGGGGGGGGGTGGAAAGCCAGACAACAGCAACCAAATAAACGCCAGTTAATATTATAAATCTATATTGCTGTGGCTCGTTACAAAATGATCACGCTGAGGAACCGGATTACAAACAAATGCAGTGGAACAGGAAACACGAAAGGTTTCTTTTTTCTCATCAGCCATCATCGATGTTGGTGTGGGCAATAAAACAGCAACCCGATTTTCAGAAGTCGTTACATCATCAGCGGTGCCTGGTGGTCATTGCAGTTATTCATTTGTATTCAATAAACTTTAAGGAATTAATTTTCATCGAGTCGATGTCTGCTCTCGCACAAGTGTGCCCTTGTAAGCGCTTATTTATGAGATTGCCAGCTCATTACAATATTGAGAAACGCAAGCGTGTTTGTACATGGATGGAGTTTTAAATAAAATCGAACCCGAACCGTTGACAGCGACTGTTACAACCGTGCAGTTTGTGCTGGAGGAGGGGGACAACAGCACCACCACCACAGGCTGCCTGACAGCAGTGCCGTGGGGATGGGTCCAATTTGGGAAGACAGCTTTGTCTGCTCAGGTTTATTTTTGTTTTAAGCATCACTCGTCCACTTGCGTCCAGGTGAAAACCGCAAGTCATCAGCCCCCTTAACTTAAGCACGCCTGGCGTAAGTTATAAATAAGATCCACGGACCGCCAGAATGAAAAGTGATGCACTAAGCAAACGGCTCCACCTCCACAGACTCGCACCCACCGCTGTCCCCGCAACATTTGCCGCTGGATGCCACAGGGTGCTTTTTAGGTTTTTAATTTGCGCACTTCCATTTATCCACACGGCCCCGCAAGTTATCCAACCCCCAGCATCCTTAGTCCTTAGTCCTTCACATCCAACCACACAGATGGTCGGCGAACCCACGCGCGGGTGGAAACAATGACACGCGGTTGCTTCTGAGAACCCGGAGGGGTTTTAGTTTTAATGCCCTAAGCACACACATTGTATGGGACTCTCCACTCCCCCTGGGGCATTTGTGATGAAAAGTCTCAACACTCGGCTCACACTTTTAAAGCAAACCGTAAAACACGTACATAATAACGTTAACAATGAAAACAAAAACAATATTTTGACTTTATCATCCCAGATAACAAATCTGCCTCAAGGCAGCTTATGCCAGCAGCTACCCTCAAGGCAGAACTGCAAAGAGGAAAGCTGCGCGTAGTTGTGGTGTGTACGTGTACACGTGTACGTGTGTGCGTGTACACGTGTGTGTGTGCGTGTACACGTGTGTGCGTGTACGTGTGTGCGTGTACACGTGTGTGCGTGTACGTGTGTGCGTGTGTGCGTGTACACGTGTGCGTGTGTACGTGTGTGCGTGTGTGCGTGTACACGTGTGTGCGTGTGTGCGTGTGCACGTGTGCGTGTGTACGTGTGTGCGTGTACACGTGTGCGTGTGCTTTGTAGACCACTTGCAGGGAAAAAACAAAAAGCCAGAAAACACGTTGACATAAAAAGGCTTCAACTACAGGCACTGCCAATAAAAGCTGAGCATCCTTCAATCTGTATTTTAAAGTCTTCGTCTTCTTCTTTAATCTTTTCTTTTAAAATGAACAATACTGAATGGAACTTGGTCACAGTCTTGCGACATTAAAGCGCATTAGCATTTTTCATTATTATAATAAAACAAGAATTCTCTTGCTTTTATTTATTTGTTTAAACAGAAATTGGAATACAGTACTGTACAATCAATGGATAACATCCCCCCGCCAAAAAAAAACACTTGGCCCTGTGTCTTCTCAAAATAACACACGTCTAAAATACATACAAACTGTACAATTATTATTATTTAAGTGTAACAGGTCTGGTCAATTACACTTTTTACGCCATAGACACACACACACCCGCAACTCAATTGCCGAACGGTTATGGGAGACACAGAAATGTAATGCTTTTCCGCTGCAAAAATTTGTCTCACTTTTGGTTTATCCGATACAGAGAAAACAGAGTCGAGGCTTGCAATGTCTTGATTAAAAAAAAAACGTTATTCTGTTGATCATACGTCGTCGGCCGGGAAGGGAGGAACGCCTATCTTAGTGCGAGTAAAGAACGCCATCTTCTCCCTGAGAATGACAAAAATGAGATGGGGTCGGGGGTCAACACCCGGATCGATGGGGTCGGAGAGCGTACTCGGCAATTCCGCGTTCTCTCTCCGCACAACTTGCACGAGCAGCGCCGTGCGTACGTGGAACGATAAGATACAGCACAGGGACAGCTTCAAAGGCCTACGAATAAAATGGTATTTGTGTCATCAAAACACCTTTAACAAGTCTACGCGCGTCAATTGAAATCGTGTGTAGCTACGCACGACAATATAACCGATAAAAGCGAGCTATTTAATTTCACAAAAGCATGGGAAGCAAGTGACAAGGCAGAACAAATAGGTAAATGCACGCCTCAGGATTTGTTTAACTTGAAAATACGATTTCTCCAGTTGGTTTTCAGTGTTATTTTTGATAGCAATACACAAATCGCAAACAATGCTGACGCGGCTTGCTCTATTCTCTACCCGCGCTCTCTCTCTCTCTCTTCTGTATCCATGTGCTTATCTCATCCTTGCTATTTCTCAAGTTTATCTCGCAACTGCATCCCTGAGGATGTCTTTGGGAAGCCGGGGCCGTAGCCTTAATGTAGTTTTTTTTTCCTGGCAAGAGAAATCATAAGCAAATATAGGAAATAAATAATACACGCCCAATCGTGCTGTACAACGCTATTCAGGGCACTCCTAATGGACTGGATATTTATTTTTTGCCTGGCACTATAAAGGACCTATCAGACATGAAACGTTGAGAGAAATTGCGTGAGAAACAAAAGTCATTGTTTTTGTGGGGGCATTTGGAATGGCTCCGTGCCCAAGTTGAGCTGGGACTCGACTTCCTCACAGGGGCCAGTTTTAGTGAATCGGGAGAGGGCACCGGCGAGGGCACGGAGTTTGTTTCTCGATGATAAACGAGCACAGGGTGGGGGTTGGTGGCTGGGTGGGTGGGTTGGTGGCTGGGTGGGTTGGTGGCTGGGTGGGTGGGTTGGTGGCTGGGTGGGTTGGTGGGTGGCTGGGTGGGTTGGTGGGTGGCTGGGTGGGTGGGTTGGTGGGTGGCTGGGTGGGTTGGTGGGTGGCTGGGTGGGTGGGCGGGTTGGTGGGTGCCTGGGTGGGTGGATTGGTAGGTGGGTTGGTGGTCGGGTTGGTGGCTGGGTGGGTGGGTTGGTGGCTGGGTGGGTGGATTGGTGGGTTGGTGGCTGGGTGGGTGGTTGGCCGGCACCACGCCCGGCCGCCCCAACGCGGTCCCCCAAAAAGGGCTCGCCGAATTCCTGGCCTGGCTGCTGGTTCCTCGCTGGAAATGAAATTGGAACTAAAGAGTGCAATAAGTGCAATTGTTTGTTTCTGTCACAAATAATTCGGTATTTTACGGAGTCAATAATTATTCAAATATATTTTTTACTGATGGCTAAACTAACTTTTTAAATTAAAATTACTGATATGTCTACACCTATTGTGAACTTAACCACAGTCAGCAGCTGCACATCAGACAGCGGGGAGCAATTAATGTCAGATAAAAAAAAACTGCAAGTTGGGTTATTATTTCCAAAACCTAGCAAGAAAGCGGTGTGGAGGCAGAGAGCACTGTGTGGTAGGTCAGCAAGACAACACAATTCGCATTGGGCTGAGTAACACAAAGACTTCAACATCAGGTCGAGTGAGTTAAGGGACTAAAGAAGAGCACTGACCACAGGAGGCACTTGCTGTAACGGCAAAGAGAGGCAACAGAGCAACGATGAGAGAAAGGCAGCACCGGTCATCTCGCCAAGAGCAGTTGGAGTCGTGCACGCACGAAGTGCCAGTTTGTGCCGCTCCCTGGCACACCACATAAGGCTCTGGCTCTGCTTACCTGAAGGATTGGACTTGTGGGGGAACCTTCGTGCTCTGCCCGCGGAGCCTGAACACCTCCTTGGAGGCCTTCTTGAGCATCTTCTCCGCCCGCCTCTCTTGCCTCTGTTCTGCCGAGGTCTGCTCAGCCTCCGCACGCGAGGGACACACGCGACACGCACACACACCCGTGTTAACATGCCCACACACACGACGTGCACACACACGACGTGCACACACACACACCCGTGTTAACATGCCCACACACACGACATGCACACACACACACACCCACCCGTGTTAACACGCCCACACACACAACGTGCACACACACACCTACCCGTGTTAACACGCCCACACACACGACGTGCACTCACACACACCCACCCGTGTTAACACGCCCACACACACGACGTGCACACACACACACCCACCCGTGTTAACACGCCCACACGACGTGCACACACACACACCCACCCGTGTTAACACGCCCACACACACGACGTGCACACACACACACCCACCCGTGTTAACACGCCCACACACACACATACCCACCCGTGTTAACACGCCCACACACACGACGTGCACACACACACACCCACCCGTGTTAACACGCCCACACACACACACACTCACCCGTGTTAACATGCCCACACACACGACATGCACACACACACACCCACCCGTGTTAACATGCCCACACACACGACATGCACACACACACACACCCACCCGTGTTAACACGCCCACACACACGACATGCACACACACACACCCACCCGTTTTAACATGCCCACACACACGACATGCACACACACACACCTACCCGTGTTAACACGCCCACACACACGACGTGCACACACACACACCCACCCGTGTTAACACGCCCACACACACGACGTGCACACACACACACACAACCACCCGTGTTAACATGCCCACACACACGACATGCACACACACACACACACCCACCCGTGTTAACACGCCCACACACACGACATGCACACACACACACCCACCCGTGTTAACACGCCCACACACACGACGTGCACACACACACACACCCACCCGTGTTAACACGCCCACACACACGACGTGCACACACACACACAACCACCCGTGTTAACACGCCCACACACACGACGTGCACACACACACACGTGTTAACACGCCCACACACACACACCCACCCGTGTTAACACGCCCACACACACACCCACCCGTGTTAACACGCCCACACACACACCCACCCGTGTTAACACGCCCACACACACACACACCCACCCGTGTTAACACGCCCACACACACACACACACCCACCCGTGTTAACACGCCCACACACACACGCCCACACACACACACACCCCCACCCGTGTTAACACACACACACACACACCCACCCACCCGTGTTAACACACACACACACACCCACCCACCCGTGTTAACACACACACACACACACCCCCACCCGTGTTAACACACACACACACACCCACCCACCCGTGTTAACACACACACACACACACCCCCACCCGTGTTAACACGCCCACACCCACCCGTGTTAACACGCCCACACACACACACACACCCCCACCCGTGTTAACACGCCGGGGTGTACGCAAAGCTCGCTCGCGCGCCCGCCACGAACCGTGCAAACGTATCGAGGACAAGGCACAGCAGCGTCTTAAATTCAAACCGTGACAATTAATGAATGGGTGGGGTAAGGTGACTTCACTACATCGTTCACAGTGTTAAACACCCGATCGATTAAGAAGGCCGGAGGTCAAAGGTGAGAGAGAATATATCGGGGGTGGGTCCACCAGGCGGCACCTGCTTTTCGGCCTCTCGCAGGAGGTTGCGGAAGCGTTCGTCGTCGGTGACCCACGCGGGCAGCTGCGTGCGTCCGTGCGCCTTGGCCTCCTCGAGGCGGTGCTTGAGCTCGCGAAGGCCTCGCAGCTCGTCGCCCAGACGGCTCTCCCGCGCGCGGGACGCCTGCAGGTCCAGCTCCAGGTCGAGCGACGTCCGCCCGGGCCCCTCCACCCGCGGCACCATCAGCACCGACTGGCGGCCCCAGACCCCGCCACGCGACACACACCCAATGACGGCAAGGCAAATTTGCGGCGATCGTTCGAGTTGACGATTCATGTCGTCTTGTCGGCAAACTGCGTCCGTGACACGGAGGAGCTCGTAAGCGGGCCGGTAACGTGTAACCACGAGGGGTAACGTGTAACCACGAGGGGTAACGTGTAACCACGAGGGGTAACGTGTAACCACGAGGGGTAACGTGTAACCACGACGGGTAACGAGTAACCACGAGCAGTAACGTGTAACCACGAGGGGTAACGTGTAACCACGAGCAGTAACGTGTAACCACGAGGGGTAACGTGTAACCACGAGGGGTAACGTGTAACCACGAGGGGTAACGTGTAACCACGAGCAGTAACGTGTAACCACGAGGTGTAACGTGTAACCACAAGCAGTAACGTGTAACCACGAGGGGTAACGTGTAACCACGAGCGGTAACGTGTAACCACAAGCAGTAACGTGTAACCACGAGGGGTAACGTGTAACCACGAGGGGTAACGTGTAACCACGAGGGGTAACGTGTAACCACGAGGTGTAACGTGTAACCACGAGCGTGCCGCCCCCGTAGGCGCTGTGTCGGCCCGAAGAGGTGGACGTGCTCACGTGATTGTGGACTATCTCGTCCGCTACTAATGGGCCCGATGATGACCCATGTAAAAAAAACTATGGGGATCATTATAATGATGCGTTAATTATGTTGATGTTTGAGTAAATTTTTCAGATCGTTTCTCTTTTTTTAAACTTGTGGTTGCATTCCATTTTCTGCACTGAAAGACTTTCCCCAAAATGGTTCTAATTTTATCCACACGAAACCAGCGATTAGGTTGGCCCATGACCGATATTTCAATTGACAACCTTAGAGCCACCTAGCTGAGTATTAGTGCAAGGCAATTCCTGGCTTATGCTCACCGCATATATCAATGGCTCACTCTTCCATTTAAAGGAACAAGGTTTGGGAAAGAAATTGAGGCAGCACGAGGAGGTTCAAGTCAGGAATGTGGAAGAGTCTCACCGCACAGCGTTTGGGCTCCCACTTATTTCCCAGCCGGAAATGGGAAAATATACAATGAAGGGTATCGGGAGGATGTCATTCTTTTTAAAGGTGGGTTTTTTTTTTTTCAGGAAACAACCAGCTGATAACAGGCATCAGCTGCTCCTGTAGATTTAACCCCTTAATCCACACATTTCTTGTTAATCCACAAGTTGCATGCTTCAACCACTGGGAAAGACACCCGGGGAATTTATAGCTCGTCAGTTGCGCGGTGGAAACAGGAGGCTAACACCTCCCGTCCGGTTACAAGGATGCGAGGATTTAAAGTGAGTGGCGTTAATTGTCCCAGTTGGGGGTCCCGGGAGCTGACCGTGCTCACCCGCTTGACGCGAAGGCTCCTCCGCTCGACCGCATTCCTCACAAACGGCGTCCTCTTGGGCATTGCCGAGCTGTCGCTGTCGCTGCGGTTTAACTGCATGGGGGGAAAATACAGGCATTTAAAAAAAATCGCTCGCAAAACAATAACGAGGTCGGTGATGATAAACGACACTCGTGCCATTTACACTACAGTGAATGTTGGGCCACTGCTCCGACACATTGGTGGTCCCGAGTCAGTGGTGTAGATCCTCGTACATTCTGATACTGCGAGGGGCCAGTCCGTCCGCACGAAAATCACAGCCGAGGGCTCATCCAGCAGGGCAGCCTTCTCAATCGGTGCACACTTTACCAACCCTGCCCCCAGAGAGTCAATCGTGATGGTAATGAAATATTTTTGGCAGAGTTGACCATGGCCAGGATTTAAAACTTATGACTGCATGAATGGGAGCCCTGTTGCACCATTCCTACCAACCGAGTTGTAACAAGGTGGAATGCAAACCTCACCTGCGAATAATAGCTTGCATAGCACTTCATCATTTTCATCATCAGCCATAATCAATACACTGCTGGATGAAGGTCAGTGGAGGGTAGTAGCACAGTCTGGAGGCTAAACAGGATTACGACACTACACGGGCAGTGGCCGATTGATGTATGCGATTGGATTTAAAAGAAAAAAACTAAATTTCATGGGATCTGGCTAGCAGTGCATTGGGATGACACCATCCCTCCCCAGATTACGATGGACGCATTACATCTCATGACTGCAATCGAAAAAAAGAGTCGACCGTGTGTGCGGGGGCATCACGGTTCGGACTTAAACTGGAATAACCAATAGCAACACCGCTCGCTGCTGGAAAACGAACAGCCAATTACAGGCAGGTACCATGTTCACCTTGTGGGGGGCCACAGGGACAACGTGCCATGAGGGGGGTCCCCTCGGCTTAACAACTGCGCTCTGAAATGTTAAGTTGTGCTATGGGCACAATATAAAACAAAGCATTATAACCCCGGATAATCTAGCAGCCTAAGAATCTCTATTTAGGCAGGTGAAATCCAATGAGCTATGAAGCTCGTTTAATTTCCACAGATGTCCAGTAGAGGCACGGGGTCACAAAGCCTTGTGTGGTAGAGCGAGCAGCTCACAATCAGAAGTGTGCGAGTTAAAATCCTAGTTGGGGGTTGACTCAGCCAAACATCTCTCTCTCTGGGGTCGATAAAATAGTACCACTTTGTCAGAAAGTCAACAGTGGTTGACCTAAGCAGAGGCTCGCCCCTGCCATGGGAATTAGGAATTTTCAAACACCACCTAAATTCCAATTTGAGCGGCAAATCAATTTCAACATTACGACTCAATCTAGCGGTGCCACTGCAACAGCACTGCCACCACCACCACTGGTTGTGCCCGAACTCGGCATTCCCTTCTCGACACAATGACCGCGCGCGCCGCCGTGCGAGGGAGGGGGGGGGTGGTCACTCACCCGGCACACGTACTGGTTGCGGGCGCCGGGCGAGAACGTCTGGGAGCGCACGATGGTGCTGCCCCGCACAAAGGGGCTGGCGTGCGCCGCTCCGCAGCCGCCGCTGCCGCCACGCTGCTCCTTGGGCCGCACGCTCGGCGCCTCGGGCAGAGGCCCCTCTGTGTTGGTCTCCTTGTCCACCTGGGCGCACGCACGCACAGACGGAGGAGGGTCCCGCGCACACCACGTGGCCGTTAGCAGATTGTCGGAGGGAAAGTAACGATGAAGGCAGCGACACGCGCCCAAGCTGCTTTTGGTCCTGGGATTGCGATTCCGTTATTGTAAAGCAAAATTATTCCTAATTTGATCGTGGAATCGTGGAAGAGTCTGGTCACGGGGAGGCAAGCACGTGCATTCAGGCAAAATGGTAGAGCCCATGGAGACTGGCCAGCCTTGTTGAATCGCAATTAAAATGATTGGAGATTCTATTGGGTCATTCCTAGGCTCGGCAATGATTCCCTTCATCAATGGCAAGTCCTGCATCTCCATTCAAAGACGAGTTATTACGTGGGTTGAGTCATCCAGTACGACCCTTGCAGACAGGTTAAACACTACACGGTTAGGCCAAGGCGTGTGCGAGCAAGCAGCTTGCAGGCACCTGACGAGAGAGACAAGACGCACGCTTGCCGGGGTCCATACTCAAACAAGGAACACCATGACTGAAATAGGTAACTCCATCTCATTCACTCACTAATGCTGTTCTCAACCAATCTTCAAGAACTTTTATGGGCCGAGGCGAAGCAGCTAATCAATATTGAAATGTATGTGGTCATGGTTTTCTCCTAAAATCCCGTTCAACTGCAGATAAGTTGATGTTAAATAAGGTAGGATAATGCGCTAGCTCACGAATTCAGGCACAAAAGTCTCAGTCCACGATAGCGCAGCTCATCGCGATGTGCGCACATGGCATCACACAGTCACCTTGCTGTTCTCATCCACGCCCCCCTGCGTCTCCTCCAAGGGCATCCCGTCCAGCTCCTCGTGCGCCACGAGGCCCCCTTTTCCTCGCTCCTCCAATCTCACCGGCTCCTCCTTATCGTCTTCCTGCCCCTCCTCGTCTTCCTCATCCTCTTCCTCTTCTTCCTCCTCCTCCTCTTCTTCTTCTTCATCATCTTCCTCCAGCTCCTCTTCTAATTCCCGCACGCTGCCCATGATCCCCTCTGCTCCGGAGAATGGGGAGTTTTCTCGAGAAGGGCAGCACCTGTACGTACACCGGATCGTCGCACGCATTTCCACCGTCACCAACCGTGACGACGGAGTAAATAATTCCTCGACATAAAAAAAATAACCTACAGGGTGGCATTCAAACTCCAAAGTGGCGTAACAAAGCTTTCATTTGACAAAAGCGACAAACTCCCATTGATCAAAAACGCTCACAGCCACAGCAACCACAACCGACTGGCAGCGGGGGGCCCTGTCCTCTACTGTGCGCCGCGTCGTACCAGCCCTCGGCGTTGCTCTCCACCCGGGGGTCGTCGCCCTTCCCGGCGAGCTGCTTCTCAACGGCCTCCAGCTGTGCCGTCGTGCGTTCCAGCAGCGCCGAGACGGCGTCGTGCTGCGGAGGCAGAGAAACGCGCCGCGGTGGCGAGGAGATCTCCCCCGCCCGATACGCAGGAGGTCGTGCGTTCAATTCCAGAGCCCGACGACCCTGACGATGCCTGTTGTTATATATTTGGAGTTTGCGTGTTCTCTCTCTCTCTCTCGCTCTCCACATGTGGTCGCGTGGATTGTTCCCCGGGTTCCCCCCGGGTTTCGCTCTCCACATTTAGAAAATCAACATCACGCGTTCAAATTATTTGGCTGCGACTATGAATTCCCACGTGCGGTGGTGGTGGTGGTGGTGATGATGATGATGCAAGCCACTTGGACGAGCTGGCATGCGCGGCCAAGGTCGCAAAGCGCTCGGTGGGCTTCACCCGGTGAAATAAAAACCACGCGCAAAGTGTTGACGCGCACACGGCAGGGGGCGCTAGCGCCCGCGGGCCGACCGCCCGGCACCGCGCTCCAAGCGGGGGGCCAGGACTCCCACGGCCGCACGACGCCGAGCACTTGATACAGTCCCCCAAAAGGACACTTTCATCCAGAACTGCAAGCTTCACGTATTGTTTAGTGCACCGCCATTGGCACGGTTGGCTACGTAGGGTGCGTAAGAAGTTCAACATACACATATACATTACTGCCTCAATCTCTCTGGTCTCTTCTTCCCTCTGCTATGAAAAATGGGCCCATTGCCCAAAACGTCGCCACATGTGTATATATCTCTCTCGTTAGAGCCAACGGCGTTGTCAACAAATGCGTTGAGTGTTTGTCGTTTAAGCCACGTTCCCCTACCGTGTTCTGAGGGTTGTCGAGGAGGGAGGGCCCCATCGGGCGTCCAGCGAAGTGCGTCTCGGATGCCTGAAGGTCCTGCAGGCTCAGGAGGTTGTACCAGCATCCAGGAGATGATAAAACGCTCTGGTGGGCCAAGCTGATCTGAGCCATACCCTGCAGCATGGAATGCACGCGCATAAACGAGCAGTCATTAAGGAGGGCAGTGCACACAAGGGGCCAATGCATGCAGCAGACTCGTGAGGCACACAACGACATTCCCCCGAGTTGGCTTACGGATAGCTTGCTGTTAAAAGGGCTGATAGTGAACTCCTGTTGCGGCCAGTACTGCACATAACAAGATAGGATAAATCTTGATTTGAAGATAGGAGATACGAGAAACGAGCAAGAGCATTTCTAATTAAATGAGATTTTAAACGCAGCTTTTCAGGCAATGTTTGCTTGTACAATGGGCACTCTCGGATTAATACAGGTCCTTTTGCACAATTAGCTTCACAGATATTTTAACAAATTGTTTCGGGCTACGATAAGAAAAAAAGGCCAACTGACTATTTAGACGACTGCAAGACGAGTATTGATGGATCACGCAGAGATGGATCCTGAGAGAGACAGCCTGATAGACATCCAAGAGGCACATAGCTAGAGCAGTACAGCAAGTAGGTTTCGGACTTCCCTAAAATGCAGGGTTTCTCTACACACTCGGAGCAGTTTCCTCTGAAAAAGAAAATGCCCAAACATCCCAAACACCACCTTTTGCTTAAAACTAGTCTTGACACTCAATGAGGTTTTCCTGGGTAAGCTTAGCATTGTAATCATTATCGATTTTAATGATGCTGGGCGAGGCCTCGTTGAGACGTTATTGTAAAGTGACTTCTGTGTCACAAATACAGTGTTGGATGGAAACAAGTGTTGGATGGAAACAAAACGATAATCATGTGATCGCAATTCTCCGATCCAGACGAAACATTCACAGCAAATCAGCAAGCCATGAATGGCTGAAAAAGAGATGTTTATTTCTAGTCTGAGAGAGTTTAGCTGCGGTATATGACGCATATTTGGCTTTGGAAAAAAAAAAAACGGCTGGTTAATATTAGATCTCGGCAGCCAAGCAGGATTTGAGCCTGGAAAGTGCTTGGATGGGCAACCACCACCGTGCATAAAAGAGGGACTTATAGGCTGTACTGCGGCGATTCGTTGTCTGCAGAGAGTAATGCGGCAAACTCCGTTGTGCTGCACTCCGCTCCAACATCTATGCTCGCCACCTAACAGTGACCAGCGCAGTGATGCATTGTCAAAAAACCGTTACGAAATACATGTAAGGAGGGCCTCATCCAGCAGTGGGCGGACATAAGTGCTGCATGTACGCGGGGTGATCCTGCATCTACAGGATGCGTGGACACGCAGGGAGTGGGGGGGGTGTGCGTGATCGCCGCCCGAAATGAATGTTTGTCGTCGACCAAAGTAGCCGCCAAGCAAACTTGTCAAGCTCCTCGCCGCACCAGGACCGTGCACACACACAAAAAAAGCCCACTGGATTCTCCTGCATCTGAAAAGCCACGAGGGCCCGCAGATCCGAGGACAGCAAGCAGATCTCGGAGAGAAGCTGCTAGAAGCGACGGGGTTAAACATTTCAGATGCGGAAATACCTTCACTGTCACGTCTCCATGGGCACGCAAAATACTTAACATTCCATCGCCAGACGTCTTCGCCATAAGCAGCAGAGTTATTTTAAACAACCTTATTATTGCTAAACATTTTTTCCTCGAAGCAACGGTCAATTTACTTGACAATCACCAGAAAGTAATTATCGGTTCACAGGAGGAAGAAATTGCTTACGTACATGTTTTTCCAAGGTTTGTAGAACATTAAAGTGCTTTCATTTATCTAGAAAAGCCTCAGCGAGTCTAAAGACTGTGGGGGTTTTTATTAGGAGTGTCCCACATTGGGATGTTTGGTCAATTCCGTGACTGTTTGGCACATGGAAGGAAACGGGAGTGCCCAAAGAAACCTCCCATGCATATCAAGGGGTCCAACTCGTAGCTCTGCAAAAACCGATTCATTATTACACTCCCATCTCATAGCCACTGCCTGCTCAGGCTGAGCCTATAGCACCTAAACACTGCATAGCGTTCAAGATCCTACAAGTTGCATTCAGAATTATGCAGTTATGGGGCCTAGGTGTACGCTTCTACTCCTGCAGTAATGAACGAATATTGGCATGTGGTCTCAACGGAAAAATCTAAGGTAATCTAATTTCTAACCTAATTTACATTTCTAGAACGCCTTCACAGAAGGTTACAGGACAATTTAATGTGTTGAGAAATCATATTTGTAAAAATTTATTTTGTTCCAACCACAAAAAAAAGTCCATTGTGCCCCCCTGCCGTCATGATTTCTATTCACCGAGCAGATTAACATATCATCTGTTTAACTGGTTGGTTTTCTGGACTGCTGACTTTTCATGTCCAAGGACAGGGCTTCATGCCGGCACTTTAATAATGATTAAACTCAAGTGCAGTTAATTCTCAAGCGAGCAGCACCAGCGAGACCCCAGCACTGCTGCCGCCGCCTCCCACAGATCAGCGTCTGGGAATTCGACTGCCACAGACCAAACACAAACAGCGGGACCCCCCCCCCCTCTCAGCCTACACTGCAGAGAAGTGGGTGCCTCCACCCGCTCACCATCCCCCCCCCCCTCCTGCCACCCAACCTCCAGGGTGTCGGGTCATAGGTGACAGCGCCAGATAGGAGGGTCACATTCCAAAGCAGATTAGCTTCTATGCCAGGTATTCTGTTGGAAATGATGACAAAAAGGATAATTTTGGCATTGTTTGTTTAGCGAATTAATCGAAAAGGTGCCGAACTGGTATTTTGGAAGTTCAGATTAAGGTGTGTGGCCCGAGAAGTGAAGTGAGGCCGGGTTTTCCTGTGCTTGTGTCAACCGTGTGTGGTACTCTTTCATGCAGGAAAATGAATTTCACTAAATTATGTATGTAATAATAACAACTTTCAGCCCCTTTATCAATCCATTGCTGGGTGAAGGGGTCACCACACCGTATCAATCACAGGCACTGCCCTGTACCGAATCAGGCAACACTCCCCACCGATGCTAGCCACGGTCGGAAATCGAACTTGGATTAGCAGGCTTACAGCAAAGTGTACAAAACAGTGTGCCACTGCTCCACCGCTAAAACAGGTGTGATTTAATCGTCCTCTTTGTCCATAACCTATCTCCACGCCTTCCTCTCTTCACATCTTCTCTCTCTCTCCATCATGGCACAGTCCTGTCCTCTTTTCTCACCAATCCACGACATCATCTTTCCACCTCTTCCCTTGGCCCGCTACATTTTTTGCCCAACTCAACGACTAAATCTTAACAATGGGTTTTCACGGTCGCTTTTCCTCTTCTGTCCTTGCGAGAAGTTCCCCTACTCCCTTCAAGTTGTTGCGTTTAGTTGTCCTTCCCCCCCGCACCTCCGATTCACGTGGTTGGATACGCACGGTGCGAAAGACGTTCGACATACATACATACAAGTTGCTGACGCGCTGGTCCACTTTTCATGTTGCGTCTCATTTTTCTAGCATGCTTCTCGGAAAGCTACACTTGAATTTCCCGTGCTCGACCCTCCTTTATACAGTCAACGTTTCCGCAGCACATGTTAGCATGGGCACAGAGTATGTTTTGTTATGTAATGATAATAAATGTAATTTATTTATACAGCAAAGCCCCTCGGAGAGTATTCAATACTTTTTTTTAGGATGGTCTTCCATATTGGGATGATTGGCAAATTCCATTCAAGGAATGTTTTACATGTGGGAAGAAACCACGGTCGAATCTGGAGAAAATTCACACACACACGAGGGGATAACACTCAAAAGGTCTACACAGATGGATTCACAAACTCATTCTCTGTACTGCTACCTCCGGGGCCACCATAATACCCAGCACCTCCGATTAGCACGATTGGCTACGTAACGGTTGCGAAAGAAGTTCAACACACATATGCACGTGTTGGGAGTTTCGCAAAACATTGTTTCATGAACCCATGCCATGCAAGAGCTGGATTAGGCTGCTGAGTGGTAGCGTGTTTGCTGCTTGTTGCAGAGGTTTGCAGTTAAAATCCATCGGCCACCCTGGTTAATAGTGCGGCTGTGTTAACGATAAAAATCCGTGCCGTCTGTTTCACAGTGAACATTAAAGATCTCACGATGTTATGTCACAAAGAGCCATGTGTGCTTGCGTCATGGTGCAAATTTGATCAATTACTCGCAAATAAATTTTACCGGGAAGCAATATAGCAATATCTCCCCATCGAGCAGACCAAGCCTGCTCGCTAGCCAATGCTGCAGTCAGACTGAGCCTCACGGAGCCAGCGCATGGAAGGCCTGGTATAATATTTAATGACGAGGATGATGATAATGTCGAAGCCAGCTGACGATTGTGAACGCTGCGACAGCTGTTGTCGCGAATTTTGGGTGTCGTGGTGGAGCGACGGGGGTGGTGTTTGGCGGAGGCGGTGGGGGGGGGAGAAGAGGGGGGGGGGGGGGGCGGGGGGTCGGTACCAGAGCCTGCTCCGGAGGGCCCACGGTGTGGACGTCGACTCGCAGCGTCTTGGCGCGCAGCACGCCCGCGGTCGGAACGCTCTCGCGGTAGCTCCAGCCGAGGCGGCAGAGGCCCGGCACGCAGGGAACCGCGGGGCTCGTGTGCACGCCGCGCCCGCCGGCCCCGCACGGCAGCAGCACCGCACGCACCGCCCTGCGCGCACGCGGAAAGGGGCCGGGGACGGACGTGGCGGGCGGTAGTAGTACGGAGGACACGCGGGCGGCTTGGTCCGGGGAAAGGCGCATCGGTGAAAAAAAGCTTTATAGCTCATTGGATTCCTCCAGTCTAAATAGACATATGGATTCAGGGCAGACCGTGTATGTACGTGTCACGAAACGCATTACTGAAGTTACCCGCAAAATCACTTAATTGGGTAAAAATCGACATCGTACACATGGAAGGAACCGCAAAGAGAGGGAAGACCCAACAGAGGAGAATGGCTTGACAACGACTTGAGAGATTGGTGCCAGAAAGATGTGGTCACTACGTGAGCGTATTGGCACAGCAGACAGAGGAATGTGGCTGTCTGCCCATGGACCGTAATGATGATGATGATGGCGAAACATCGCCCTCTACGAGGCCCGTCTGTGGAACAGAGCACCTTTCTTGATAGCCTTGTGCTATAAGAATGGCGCATTTACCAAAAAACACGTATGATTGTTACGACTGATGCCCGCTGGTCCAGCAGAGATGCCGAGGGTGCGTTTGGGTTCGGAATAGGGTTCGAGGTCTAGTTTGAGATATGGCTTTAGTTGGTGTAAATTTAAGGGCAGGAATAATGGTCATGGTTAGGGTTCAGGGGTGTGTTTGAAGTTAAGGTGAGAAATTGAGTTATGGTTCGAGTTTAGGAATATACTGTAATGGTAAGGGTTTGTGTTCGAATCAGCGTCCATAGATAACGGTTGGTTTAGCTGTTGTCCTTCCCCCACACCTCCGATAAGCACGGTTGGCTACATACGGTGCGAAATAAGTTCAACATACGTACGTAGATAGATGGTTTAGACTTAGGGTTGGAGTGTCAGGACTTACAGACAGGTTCAGTTTAATATTCAGGAGTGGGTTAGGTTTAAATGTTGTATGAGAGCAAATCTACAAATGAGTTAGGATTAGGGTTGCATCAGAGTTCAACATTTTCCATTTATGTTCCAAGAGCCATAACAGAGTTGGGACATCAAAGCGAAATGTGCACATAAAAATGTTCCAATAATTGGCATTTCAATAAATCCACTTGCCACTGTAATCCAAAGATTTCAATACCCCAATAGAGCACACATGGTTAAGCTTTGCACCGGCTGCACATGGGCAGTGCACGTTGTTCAGATTATTCTGAACTGGAGCAATTTGCTTCTCTCGAAGGCGTTAAAAATGCCATTAGGGGCATTTTAACAGAATGCATGTGTTACACCTAACGAGCCGCCCCACGCAGAAAAAGGGCACCTAAGGCTGCTTAAAATCATTCCGATTTTGGCACAAAAGCACCGAGTGGGATTCACAAGAAAGGGCCTAAGTGGGAGAATGGAATGCCTTAATCCTGAACACGCGCTTGACACAAAAAAATAAAAAATCTACGGGCTTCACCTCAAGTCCCGCGCGCTCATTAGAGGCCACATTCACTGCTCCGTGACTGTGCGTGCCCGAGGATGATGGGCGTGCACTTTTTGTCCCATGTGCAAGCAGAAAAATTCTGCGTCGCCTATAAATGATATCGGGATGTCTGTCTGTGTTCCATGAACTTCCTTAATGGCGAGAGCCCTGCGACAAGGTGTAATGGCCCCTTTTTCGATAAGCTAGTAATTGACAAGCCTGTAATTGCCCGAGGTTTTTAAGTAGGATAAACAAAAGCTTAATGACAAATCAATATTGTACCAGAGTCCAAAACCCAATTAAACGCCCTCATTCTGGGCTAAGGAGTTAGAGAGCCCGACTCGCAATTGGAAGGTCACGAATACATATTCTCTGGGACCAATAGAAGTCCACAGTGGAGAGGCTGGCCCTAATCACAAACACGTGGAATTTACACCAACGATATAAAGTCAAAGCCGAACACCGTCCCACATTGCTCGTCTGACCAGGGAGACGCCGACTTTGAAAAACGCGTTTCTCTTATTTTGTTTATTACAGTAGCTGAGACACCGATCCCAATGCTCAGAATGCCAGACGGACAGCAATACACAGCAGAAAGGAAGGTATAATAATAGACAAGCGTTAATATGCTTCTTAAAATAAGCAAGGTTATATCAACTTGGGAATAGAGCTGATGGGAGGATATTCCAAAGTCACTCGAGGTGGCAATGCTCGCGACACGTGAAAAATACCTGGGGACTCTGCGGGAACGCAACACTGACAGGCGTTAGTATAGGGGAGAACTTAAATGTGTGAACGATAACAAAATCCTTACACTTTGTTCCCATCGGGGATGCAAAGGGCCTGCAGATTCTTGAGCTGAAGGACGTGAACCATGAACACACCTTCCTCCGCGTCATACCTGGCAGGGGAGACGCGGGCACAGACACGCGAACCAAGGCAACGAGAATTGGTCTCCGTGCGGAGCCCCGCTCCAACTAGGGGGCACGCGGAACCCCACCGATCGCCGACCCATTTGCAGTATCATTCCAGACTGTGGTTTTGTGGCACAGGTAACAAAAACAAGTAGCTAGTAATTTTTAGATGGTTTTGTGGCTTCACTCATCGACACATTTATTTTATGTATCATGCCATAAACTAATACAAACTGAAACCACGAAGTAGTATCTTTCAGCTCAAGATCTCAGCAAACAAGCGGTACACATATGATAAGGAAGCCACACAAAGAAAACACACAAACAGCTCTTATTTTGTATGCGTGTCCTGTTTGTCTGACTAGGGCCATTAAAACACGAGTATTAAGCTTAGTTAATAAGAAAAAAAATCCATGAAGTTATGATCATGTTTGTCATTACGGCACTCTCTTTACCTCGTGCCCAAATGTCTAAATTCTACAACAACGTGGTTACGATCAAACTCGCGTCAGAACCGTCTGGGGAGCAATGTACATCTCTACAACATGAGAGCTAAACGTTTTTTGGGTTATCAATCGGATCTCTAAAGTCACGGTGGATCGCCCACGTAATGCTGAGCAGGTTGCTCGTGCAAAGCCTTCCTCGTACCCAGTCAGGTACATGTATGTTCACAGACAGCCCTTGGGCGGTCCATGGCCGGATGAAGGCTTCCCCATGCCGTGCGAGCGAGCGGTGGGGGATATCTGACCGCACATTTACTTAGACGCCGCTCACCGGCGGTTGGTGGGCGATGTCTCAGTGGGCTGACAGGGTTACTGATCACCGCAACGATTCATTTCGGCCCGTCGGCCCCACGGGAGGGGCCATCGCTCACCGTTGCGGTCGAGGCGGGCGAGGTCCACCTCGGGACAAAAAGCCAACACCGCAGCGCGGGTAGAGGTGGCGCTAACCTCACCCGCCACGTGGGTGGGAATACATCTTCCGGGTGCCGCTTGCATTGGGACAAATTGACCTCTTGCACACGACGGGCCCCGTGTATTGGCACGTAACGTCACCACGCAGATGAACGAGAGCGCGCGGACGCGAACCTCATGTCGAGCTGGATCTGGGCCGCGGCAACTCCGCACGTCGCCTTATCTTCGTCGTAAAACGCCTCCTCCGACTCGTCGGGCCTGCCCGAAAGGCACGGGTTCGATCAATACGGCACTCGCTCCACGCAGTCGAATTAAACGCAGAAAGACAAGACTTGAATTAACAAGCACCGAAATACACCGTGACATTTGGTTTAAATGTAAACCTGGTACTGTAACAAAGAATGTGATGGAGGAATGCGAAGGATTTCCTTTGGTGCAGACAGGGCGTGTCAAATGTAGGCAAAACACATTGACGGGAATCAATACGTCCGCAAAAGCTAAATCTTTGACATGCGCATTTCGGAAAGATGATAGATTGTGGAAGGAGTACGGACTGAGTGCTTCTCATAAATGTGGTGCTCCATTCATGAGAAGCACTCAAGCAATCATCCCTCCGGGCCCGGATAAATGAACGTATTTCGTTGCTACAAAGACAAAGATCCCTACTGAAGGCCTTAACAGACTGTTGGGGAAAGTGCTGTTAGCGAGCACCTACGAAGGCCGGAAAGGCACACTAGGAGGAGGTGGGTGGCCAACACTACGCCTGGTCGCCTTTGTCTCCCTAGTTGCTTTGTTTACACATTGCACCAGGTACTCATTTGAGACCAAGTCGACCTAGGAGAGGCCCAGGACCAGTTCAAGTAATCATCACTGTTGCTACAGACACACAAACACGTTGCCTCTTGTAGACACGCCCCTGCCCACTTCACACGGCCGCGTGTCTGCACGCAACAGACGTTTCGTGCCGGGCACCAAAGCGAGGCCCGGGTCGTCGTGACTGCGGCACCTTTTAGCCGGCGCCTCAAACACCCCGCTGTCGGCGGCCACGGACTCGTCCGAGACAGCAGCCGAGACCCCGCGAGCTTTCCTCCCGGCCAGCGCTTCCTCGTGGTCCTCCGCCATGTTCATGCCTGCGGGAGCGTGGAATGACGTCACGCGAGTCCCGTGGGAACGCGAAAATGCAGTGTGTTGAAAGGAAGATGCAAACCCATAAAACAAACAGATTGGACACTGGAGATACGAACCCTTGGCCATCAGTCCCGAGACGTGCAACCCGAGTTGAAAGCTTGGTTAACGAGAGAACGCGTCATTAATTACAGCGGCCAAGTGATGTCACCTTCTTCTTCCTGGAGTTTGCCCCTCTCGCCGGTGGTGTACCTTCTCTCTCCTCGTGACGCCACTCACAGACGCGCTAATGCGACAATGCAGTTAGAGCACTAGAAACGCACTATGGTGTCGCAATTGTCCGTAACTTTAAAGCCTTTTTGTTTTCTCATTCGCGAAGCTGTACACTTGTGTAAGACAGAGGGGAACAGGCAGTCTCATCTATAAGAGGTGGAATAAAGGACCCCTGATTGCGAGCAAAATATTCCAATAATAATGCACACTGCCTTCTCATTTGATTTCAGAATCGATCGCTAAGCTCGGACGCTGTGAAGAAGCTCGGACGCTGTGAAGAAAATATTCCAAGAGTAAACGTTACTTCCAATGTCTGAAAATGAAGATCACGCTCAATTCAAATGCAGTACGCGTATTTAATTTGCATTTAATAAAGTAACCTTTGTTTTAAAGACGATTCGTTTGTTGTTCTTCTTCGCACCTCCGATTCGCACGGTTGGTTACGTATGGTGCGAAAGAAGTTCAACATACATACATATCCTAATGAATTAATTAAAAATATCAACCACATGGCCTTGTGTGCCAGTGTGTGTTGCATTGGGCAGTGGCTCGAAGGAGTAAAGAGGTTAATAAACGAGATGTATTTAATTACTAATTTAATTTAAAACATTCAACGTAGCTCAAAGAAACACTTTGAAAACGAACAGTGCCCAAGAGAAGCATCGGCGATAGCAGGGCTACAAAAGCAGCAGGCCATGTGAGAACAACTACGCCTGGTTGCTCGGCTCACCCGCCGAGCCGCAACTCTGCTGCATTGGTACCAAGCGTGGGATTCTCAGATGATGTCATCAATTACGGCGCTTCAGTGCCACTCTTCATGTCACTGATCTCCGACGGCAATCACAAGAAGGACTTTCTTTATTACTGTCGGCAAGTGCACTCGAGTGGTTTATATTACTTAATATTCATCGCACGCATTTATGTTTATACACTTTACGTAACGACATTTTATAGCCCTTTGTCAATCCACTGTTGGATGAAGGCCTACCCACAGTGTCTGCCGTGGGGGTTGTTAGAACATTATTCGCTATGCTGGCCAGAGCGGACTGGTTGAAGGAAGGGATCCAGGAATTGGTTTATACATCACTCATCACTCATGTTTGCCATGCCCAGAAAATCAACTCTGCTCCTCACATGAACATTTGCGCAAAAAAATAGTGTGTAGATGAGTATGGATGTAATAATCAATCGATTCACCAATTAAAATCTATTCATATGCTCACAATATACATGTGAAATAGTGTGTAAGAATCGATTGCGAGTTTTGTATATTTTTTTATGAATCATTGGGTAATGTTACATTTAGGCCCATGGAGCAAATACTAAAAATGAGACAACATGAATGTCAGTAAAATAAGGAAGCTACTCTTGAATCAAATCTCGATAAAAATTTATTATAATTATTCAAAATTGCTGCCACCAGTTTGAGTCTACCTCCATAGTGGGAATGAGCCAGCCCATGTTTTCCATGGCCAACAGGGCTAAAATTACGTACAAATTCCATAAATGGCCACGCTAAATTAAAAGGCGCCTTGGTTGAGAAAGGTCCATCAGCTGCTTCTCGGAGCAGAGTAAAAAGATCCGACTATTTGGGGCGCAGACGCACACTCGGAGCATATTTCAGCCCTGCAAGTCATCGCCGGTATGAGCCAATAGATACGTTATGGATTTTCCCAAATAAACCTCATAAACATCAATACAACAAAAGTGACATGGGTGCGTAATATAAACCTCTCCCAGCCCACATCAGCATTGAAATGGGCCTCAATGTGACACCCTACATGTGTTATTAATACACTGAGAAAATGGCTTGTAAAAAAATAAATATCGACTTCAGCTTCACACTTTTCTCAAAATAATAAATATCCCAAGCCACACGTGCAGTGCAACAGCACACGGGCAAATCTTGCATACAATTACCTACGTCTGTGGAGGGGCAGGGATTAATAATATTATCACTATTTTACCAAGAAAACGTCTAAAAATAGCACCAGTTTATTTCCGCACCCAGCAGGGCTAAAATTACGTACAAAAATTCCATAAACGCCGAGGATAAATTATAGGGGACCTCGGCCCAGAGGCCCGTCAGCTGCTCAGAGAAGAGTAAAAAGAGTCGACTATTCGGAGCACAGACGCACACTCTGAGCACATTTCAGCCACCGCATAAATAGCAGGGGGCCACTCAATGACTCTGCCAAATGCATTGCCAAACAGGGAGGCGGCTTTAAAATTTGCCGCCGATTCAAATAGCCGAAATTACCAGACGCCACTTTGAAAGACACGTTATACTTAAGGGCTAATTTCGAACGTGGCATTTTTGTTACGAAATGCGCTATACATAGGGGCTCAGTTTCAAGTGCACTAATTTTTGAGCCGGGGTTTATTTTTCCATTTTCCGTTGGGGGCGGTGTCTCGGGGCGCAGCCGGCACTCAGCAGCAGCAGCAGAGGAGGCGAGCTCAAAGGGCCCACAAAGCCACAGTCAGCCACTATTTTAAGGAAGGCTCCCCCACCCCCCCCCCCCCCCCCCCCCCCCCCCCCCCCCGGTGAAGGGCGACCAATACTAGGGCCAAAGACAGCCTCCCTCTTCTTTCAACCAGTGAGTTCACCTCGGGGACAAATACTTTGTATTTAACAAAGGTATGGGGCGTGTGCAGATTACGGGCGCACACTACTATGCGGTGTGTATGCTCAGGGGCATGCAAAGTGTGAGCGCCCACTGCCAAGACTTGACGCATCCTACCACCTGACATCCTGTTTAGAATTCACGTGGCATCTGAATGTCAGAGATGACCAAAACCTAAACATAGCAGCAACAAAAATGGGACGCGTGCAGCTTTAATAAGGTAGCTTGTGAGCCAACGGACTGTCAGTCATTGCCACCATCACGTGACTAAACGCGCATTCTATTCAGTACGGACGAGATGCATCACAGAGGTGCGAGCGAACATTTTCCGCTGAAGTGAATGCAGTTATAATGGTAGCACACGCCAGGAATTTAGTGTTTTGCAAGCAAGGATTGGCGGACCATTCAGATGTGTAACTGCCAAACCCACTGGGCCCACTGCACAGTGACGTGCACCACTGGCAGGATCTGCCAGGAGTGCACCATGTGGGGGTTGGTAAACCGATCCGTGTGTAATTTTTAGTAACATGAGCTCATAAAGCAAGGATTTTCTAAAGGTCACTCCGATTTCCCCCCACACACACACACACACAAATGCTTCTTAATATGCAATTGGCCAAAAATCTGAATGCAGGACTCTCCTGAGAAAAGGGCTTGAGACTCAGAAATACTTTTGATATAAATAATGACATTAGTCGTATTATTCTTCTTCTTCCTAAAAAGACATTATAAAGATCTTTACTCTTTGGTTCTATTCGGTAAAGTCACCAAATAGAACCAAAGAGTATGGATCCTTGCAGTCACGAAAGCTTCAAATCTAGAATATAAAGATCTTCTTTCGTGGCCTGTCTGCTTTGGAAAAGGTTGGATGCAAACAGTGGCTGGCGCTGTTCTCCTGAACTGAATTTGCGCACGGCATTACCGCATCCCGTAGAGATGTCATCGTTTATGTTTTCAGTTACTCCTGCCTAATGCGACCTTATTTCTGCAAACTACAAAACAGCCGCCGGGCGAGCGTCGCTTAATGCAATCATGCAATTACACCCAACGTCCGGACAAAAAACGCCCCCCTCCCACCCTCCCCGGTTAATGCGGAGCAGGCGGGAGTGCGTGAGCACGGCAAAACTATTCATCCGCGAGCTACAAAACTGGGCAAAAGGGGGATTGGTGGATTGCACAGGGATGGGAGCAGCCGAGCAATAAACCCTTTCTCCTTGATGGAGGAATGCGCACCGATTAGCACGGTTTTATACGTACGGTGCGAAAGAAGATCAACTTAAATACAGGATGCACAGGAATGGTAAAATGCTTGGCTTTACGAAGGGATTTCTTTCGGCCTTGTCTGTCCGGGTCAGCGACACAAAAAATATTTCCGGCACATTGCTAACCACATCCAGTATACCCTTTAACTTCAGTCTTGGCTACCCAGTCACGTGCCACCTCTCGGTCTATCAGCGACCTGGAAAATATTCGGTGAGAACGTAAGCCATGTAACTGTGCTGAGAGCGGCAAGGCATTGGAGAATCGCACCGAAGGCAAAGAAACAAAAGTAGCGGCGTTATCGTAGGCACGGCTCGTGCCATAAAAGCCGTCATCGGTTGGGAACGCTCAACGACCCCAGCTGTTGAGACATTTGTCAATGGTTTTATCACCGCCCACCGTGGTAACAATCAAAGACAGCAAATAAAGCAGCCCATTCCAGGGTTATCCTTTTAATGAATTATAAATCGGTCCGAGCTGGCTTTTATTATACGGACAACTCTTTTTTTGTTACTTGCCCATGGGAAATTCCATACTCGAGTCTTCCATCAGCTGTGTTTTAAATCAGAAATGTTTTTTTAATCTTGCGATAAGTATAACCGTAATTACGGTATATTACTAAACAAACATTCTGGATCAGTGGCACAGTGGATGGCACACTTGACCATGAACTCGGTGACCTGAGTGCGATTCCTGATCGTGGCTAACACTGAGTGGCGAATGACTTCAGAACTGCTCCTGGGTCCCAGCTTCACCAGCCCACGTTGACCGGTGTGGTGAAGTATGGTCTAATTATTCTCATGACATGACCACGACTCAGAGACGACCCTCATCCAGCAACGGATTGACAAAGGACTGTAAATAATAGTTTTAGCTTTTTAACTGAGTCGATAAAATGAGTCGTCAAAAAGGGCAGATCGTTATCAGTCTAATTGAGTGCAAACAAATCTAAAAATAGATGGTAGTTTAGGCGATATTTAAAAAGTCAAGTCAATGTTGAGTTGTGAAAGTACAGGCCAACTGAAAAATACGTTAAATAATGTGAGCGAATAAACATTCGATCATGGGTATAAACAAAAAAAAACGAGTGAGGACAAATTTATGGGGCCCACAATGTTTGCCCGATGTTGTACCAGGAGGAAGAAGACATTCAATGGGTGCGTCAAACCAATAAACTCTGATGACACAGTTCGGATAGCCGCCCCCTAAACCAAACACCCCTCACGCGTCCACCCACTCACCAAGACTGTGGAATCCCTGCAGTGCGGCAGGCACAGAAAATGCGACTGCTCGTGGACATGAAAGGTTAATGCAGGAAAAGCTGCATACCAGTATGAAATCATGTCCCTGAATTAGCAGACAGTGGACTGTCCGAGGTGGCACTCTCCTCCTCCTCCTCCTCCTCCCACGTGCTAAATGCGATTTAACCTCATTCCTGCAACAGGACATTCCACCAGTCCAAGTTGACTCATGCACCTAGTTTAAAGGTTCTTAACAAAGAATGTAGTTACAGGCAGCGCTCCTTTCCTTCACAAGTACTTGGTGTGCAGCCTCCAGTCCCAGGCTCAAATGATAATTATTACGCCGGCATTTGGGATGCTTCCGATTGCTATACATTATTCTCATAGTATGGATACAAATATAATAATACAAATTTCCTTGAAAGCAGTGTTTTACAGTTGGGATGAAGCAAAAGTACCCTGGAGAAAATCAATATCCTTGAGGGGATAATGTTTAAAACTGAACGGATATGTTCATGCACCCAGTTGTCGTACTGTCATCTGCAAGCTACCTCACAGCCCAGTGGGTTAGGCAGTTTCACACATTTGCATATCCCACCAACCTTTGCCACTACGCCCACAGCTATTTAACGAGACAGCGGCACCACTGAATGTTTTAAACGCCACCGAATGTCACTGCCTACCATAAAATAACATGCATTACAAAACCCGAGTGTGTACGGGAACGTTTTATTAGTCACACACTGAATGGGAGAGAATGAGACCGTGTGGCCCGCAGGGTCAGATGTATGTTTTCACGACTGAAGCCGACCGACCGCTTTGTGGCTTGCGCGAGCCCCCCATCGCCGCTTTGATCACAACGCAGTCCATGACTTGAGACAATATCGAACCGGGCCACCGGAAAAATCCTATACCTGCTAACGAGTGAATGTAAACAATCCCACGGTACCCAAACACGCCGGGACTCCGTGCGTGCCAGCATCGCACCCTATTTGTCCACAAAGTCACCCGTGATTACTTAGCAGAGAGAGAGGAGAGAGAGAGAGAGCGCTGCGGGGCTTGTCTTGCCAATGAGCTGTATACAGATCAAGGCAGCCACACTGCTCAAAGAAAGAAAGAAAGACATAAAAAATGCCTGGGTGTCGAGCCAGCACCTCTGGGGCGCCGAGTTCAAGCCCGAGGGGGCGGTCTCACAAAAAAAGCAGCATTCCTCACTGCATGAGAAGGGTTCTCACGCGGAGAGGAAAGCTTTTTATTTTGGGGGGGGGGGGGGGGGGGGGGAGCGGAGGGTGGGAGGGGGGGGTCACAACCCACCATGAATGCGTTTGAAAAACGTGCAACAACATCGGGCTGCCTCACCGAAACTCTGCGAGTTCCCGCAGCATCAGCGGCCGCAGACTCGCGGCTGCAACTGCCACGGTCCCGGCTGAGACGGGGGAATTATTCTCTCCGTGCCGGGGCCGAGGCTCGTTGAGTAGTCACCAGGCGCAGCCCTATAATGGATTGTTCATTTCCTGTAGCGTCGGTTTAAAATGTTCCCCTAATCCCATCATGGGATCTAATTGTGAAAATAGCTCTGCTGGGTACTTATCTTGCGCCGTTTCACACTAACGCTGAAAATAAAAACGTGCTCATGCATTCATTATCCCAAAGCCACTCATTACATTTTGGCAGCCCGGCAGTACCCCATGCACACTCATCTTTTACCGTACAAAGAGTTTGTCGATGGCATAAAGAACACGACACGTTCCGAGTTAAGACAGGTCCTTCCGTTGGTGGAAGGAGCAATGGGTAGTAAACCGCTCTGGAGTGTTTAGAACAATTTTAATCATATAATCATGCCCTATATCCACACTTAAACGAAGGGTGGCAAAAACACTCAGATAAGTAAGCCTCATGAGCTGTGCAAGACGTTAAAAGCTGCTTATTTATGACAGGTTGCGGATCTGAACTTGGCCAAAGTGCAAAGAAATCCTCTGAAGTTGGGACACCCCCAGCTGTAGCAATAAAAAGAATAAAACCGGCAGAAGAAAATTGTGCGAAGACGGCCGGCCACACTCGCACGACCTACTGCGATCGATCGATCGATCGAGCTAGCTAGCGAGCTAGCGAGCGAGCGAGCGGAAGGCAGAGGGAGACGGCTTCCACGGCATTAATTGGACCCCGGCGATGTGCAGAGGCACATACGGCACCACTCCCACGGGTGCGGGAAAACAGGCCACGCCGCATTCCTCTCTGAAAAGGGAGCCACGCAGAGGGCATTCCGCACGGTGGCCGCGGCGTGCAGCCCCCCGCCGGCCTCCGCTCCCTCGCGGGAGATCGGTGCCTTCCGCTCGCCGTACCTCTCCCGAACAGCTCCTCCCCACCAACCCCGCGAGCCGCTTGACGCAGCGTGGGGCTACGGCTCCGGTTCGTTTGCACCGCACCCCTCCCCCCACAACCTCTCCACCCTCCATCCCCGCCTTGCGCGCCAAACGCCGGCCCACAGCTGCCGTGCCCTCCTGTAAATCTGCCGAGCCGTGCATTCAGCCGCCGCATCAAAGAGGAGCGCAATTCCAAAATGAAAAAGTCTACTACGGTTTCAGTCCATTTTCTTCTTTTCCCTCACTCACTCGCCCCCCCACCCACCACACCCCCCTCCACCACCACCACCACCACCACTTTTTTGTCTCCTTTCAAGGACGCCGGCAAAAATTTCCAGCCTTTTTTGTTTTTGTGTCGTGGTTTTTTTTTTAAACGCATGCTGGCCCGAGCGTGGGGTCTCCCCTGTTAATAATCCGATGAATCTTGTGCCCATGGGTGTCTTCGCTGAACGTCACGTTTAGGAGCCGACGTTATTATCCCGTGCCAATGACAATAACTTATGCACTGCTAGTCCCTTGTAAATTCTTCTCATTATACTACAATTTGAAATTTTGGCTAAGTCAATGGATATGTACATTTTGGCAACATTAGTCATATTACACGAAAGAAATACCTCCAAAATGTGTCTCTCTTTCCGAAATACTATACGAAGATAAAAAAAAAACAATTCCAGAGCGAGTAAATACGAGATCAAACATGTAAACTCTTGGCAACGTTCACGCCTTGGTGTGCTCTGCCTTATTCTCGGTTTATTTTAACACCGTGCGAATGCCGCCCATGTCCCTTCAAATTATCTGCGTTTTCCACGGGCCATGTAGTTTAATTTAACCTCCATTAGGCAGATAGCACGCCCAAAGGCGCCATTGGATTTTTTTCCGCCATGCATCGGCAGAGTTGGGGGACAGACCGCTGGAAACGACAGTTAAAAAAAAAATAAACCCGCGCGTTCGGATTATCAGACGCCAAGACGGACGAAGAGAGTCATGGGAGAGAGCCTGAGCGGTGGAGAGTGGCGGGAGGGACCCACAGGAGAATAAAGCGGAACCAGGGGGGGGGGGAATTTTGTTGCCGCCAGTGCGGTGAGCAACACTGATCCTGATGTCGGTCTGCTGCACGAAAGGGCTTGTTTTGATCTTAAAGCTCAAATGACACGAACGCGCATATATTGCGCTCCGTCTCGTGGCTTGAAAAACTATACAAGTACCCTTTTTTAATACCCTATTTATAGTTCAATGCTCCCTTCAAAAAAGGATGTATAACGCCTCCGTATATTTCCACGTATTTCGAACACTGTTATTTTTAACTAATTCCTATTCTTAGTGCGAGTAATGAAGTGTGCTCAGTGCATTCGCTGTGCGATGGCGAGACCAGCGTGGGATCAAGCAGCCTGAATTTACAGCTTTCCTCTCGCACTTATGCAATACACTGTTTTCTTACGAGCCATCTGTGCCGGCGATTTTTTTTCAGAATGCGCAATACAACTTAAAAGACTGCCATTTGGAGGATCACTTCTATAGTGGCAGACCTGTGAGAGCTAGGACACCTATTAAGAATGAAAAATGTAACTATGAAAGCGAGCGTTGCTAGAATTACACAGTCAGACATGGCGGCAGCACAGTCACTGCAAGAGGCCCTCTGCCCTGACAGAAGAAGTGACTTGAGTTGCGATGAAAATTAAAAACGGGGTTTCCACGTCAAAAATATTGCTCCCTCTAGGACCCGGTTTTACTGCGGCCAAGATGCTCGGAGTAACGTTTAATTATCATTTGCGTGCCGTTTCACAGGAGACGGGCCTCACGTGGCCATGGGTCGCGTAAAGTTAAAGAGGAGCGGGCTGTGGATTCTCGTGGGGAGCTCACCTGCAACGGCCTCGGAGATGGTGCTGAGCTGTGTCCCTGCATCACCGGCGCACCGAGCGGCGTTGCCTGCGGAGGCGGCCGTGCCGGCGGGAGCCTTGCCGGGGTTCCCGAGCGACGGTTCGCGGAAGGAGCCGGGCGCGCGAGCGACCGCGCCGTCGTCGCCGTCGCCCTCCTCCTCCTCCTCTTCCTCCTCCTCGTCCTCCTCCGCGTACTCGGGGCCCAGCTCGACGGCGCGCGCCGCGGCAGAGAACGCCGAGCCGGAGTCGACGACGAGCGGCGACCCGGGGGGGGAGAGCGAGGAGAGCGAGGAGCGCGGGGACAGGGAGGAGCCCAGCGACTCGCGGGTCTCGCGGATCACCGAGCCCGCGCTGCGCAACAAAACGCCGGTAAGGGTAAACGCCTAAATCTTATTTTGCAGACCTAAAGAGGCTCCAAGTAAACAGTTTGCTTATATAAATGCAAAATGAAAAACCGTGTTAAATATTGTTCACATTTACAACATGCCCACGGTGATGGATATTGTTTTTGGGCCATTTCAAAGAGACAGGCCTCACACTGAGCACATGATAGGAAGTCGCGAGCCGTACGCAGGGTGCGTGCCGCAAGTTCCCGACCCCCCCGCTTTAAACGAACGAACGGCACTTTGTGCCGGAATGAAACACCGAACTTAAAAATCCGGAAGTGACGTCGATTGCCGCCCCCTCCGCTGCCCCCGCACCCCCCCGCCCCCTCCACGTCCCCCGCACACGGCACCCGCGATGCCCCCGTGGCAGCGCCACGTACCCGCCGGGGCCCATCTTCCGCGGGCGCTCCTCGTGGAGGAGCACGTCGACGCGGCGCCGCAGGTCCTGTCCCGACGACGAGGACGGCGACGACGAGAAGGAGGAGGAGGAGGCGGCGAGCGGGTGAGCGGGCTCGCTCTGCGGCAGCCCGTAGATGTCGGTGAAGCTCAGCGAGCTCAGGGACCCCTTGCTGGAGGCGGAGAGAGAGCCGCGGCTCGAAGCCAGCGACCCGCGGCTGCTGCCCGACGACACGGACAGCGTGCTCGCCGAGAGGCTGCGGGCCACACGGACGGGACGGAGGGGGAGGAGGAGGATGATGAGGAGGTTTGAGGAAGAGGGGGAGGAGGAAGAAGAGGAGAGGAGCAGTGGCGTTGATTATCGTGCGAATGAGAATTTCAGAATCAGATTCAAATAATCCCGCGATGGATTATTTGAACAAGAGACAATGAACAACTATGTGTGCTTTAACAACACTGTCTAGGCATTCTCTAGGTTATTTAATGTGTACTAGGTGAATAAATACATGTGTGTATGATGTGTATAAATTTGGAGGAACAGATTCATCAACTAAAACAGTTTTTTTTTCCCCGAAATCAGGATATATGCATTGAACCGTGTCTGAGAATTGATTAGTAACAATTTATGCCAACGATTTGCCAATGTAACCTTTCTGCTAATGGCACAATACAGAACGAACGTGACAAAAAAAACATTGGTTCTTGCATGAAATTTCCATGCCCAATCACAACAATTAACCAAATCTCGCTCAAGATAATCGTTACGCACGCAAGATCTGTGCACAGCATGGCTTCGATTGACAAGTACGCCTTTGCATACTATGTTTATACGTACCGACGGATACCGTCTGTCTGTGTGTGTATGTTACAATCATACGTGGGGGATGTGTTAGCGGAGGCGGCAGAGTGTACACTCTCGCACAGGCAGGGCGCCTATGCATTGCTTCACTAAAAAGAAAAACCTCACTTCGTTTAGGGAATGAAAGCTCACTGCAAGGGCCCCACCATGTTTTGATCACTCAAGGACATCTTTAGTGGGAAACACAAAAACTGCGCCCGAAAAGCAGGACGATGCCCCATTGACTATGCTATTTTAGTTATCAAGAGTCACTTACTGAATCAATTCTACTTTAACATTTATCTTCCCGTCTGTAGCTCATTGCCATTTATGAGCACATGTCGGCACAAATGTCGTACGCATTTGTTAACGCAAAAACAAATGCATATGCACTCATCGTACACGGGCACGAGTGATTCAAGCATTGCCAATAGTTACGTGTGCGATCTATTCGTCAGCCTCCTCCCCACAAAGTTATTCAATGCCCACAACTAAAAACTGCGGTAATAAAGCATTCGCTCTCTTGCCCAAGTACCATTCCGAAGTTATTGCATAGCAAGCAAGCCACGAGCATGAGCGTTGACAAAGTGGCCCACGCACGCACGCACACATCAACACGCACGCACTGCGGTTTTGAAGAAAGCTCTCCCAATGCGAGCATCTCGTCCCGCACGCCGCACATGTGCAGTCTCATTAGGTCCTCATTAGGATGGCCGAGTAAGCCAGGCTCCTTCCTTAAGCCTCCGGGCTCACGTCCCGGGGAATCCCGAGCATGCAGAGCGCGCGAGCGAGCGAGCACCGGCGACGAACCGCCAATGCAGGCCCGCGTGCAGACGGGGTGTGGGGGAGGGGGGGGGAGCCAGGTGAGGTGGCGGTCACACCTCTTGAGCTGCGTGTGCAGGTAGGAGGCCAGACGCGTGGTATCCTCCAGCTGCCGTAGAAGGTTGTTCCTCTTCTCCTGGAGTTGTAACCTGCGCGCAGTCGCGAGCACGAAAATCGACTCGGCCAGCAAGCAGAGCGGACTGGGCGGGGTGCCGTTTCCTACTGGCCCCATATGTCCCAAAATTGAAAAAAAAAAGTCTTGATGCTCAACAATCGCGGTTTATTTTAATATTCTGCCATGTCCACGTGGGCCGAGTGTAAGAAATAATCATCGTAAATTACAATGGCAGCTAATGCCGTCAGAGGATGAATGCTAAAAGTGATTAATGTCAACGACACCAAAGCCGCCAAAGAAAAATTACAAATAGTGCCCCCGTAAGGAAAAGTAATTACGCCGTGACATTAACGATGCAATGATTCCTCAGCTCCAGAATTGAATGGAATAACAGTGTTCATCCACGCGTGGCACCACAATCACTGTGGCCGGCTTCACCCTACGCGGCATTTGTAAAAGTAGCAACAAGAAAGGGGAGGAGTGGTGGCGCAGTGAGCGGTTAGCCCACTGCGCTACCACACCAGACGCTTAAGTTGGATTCCTGGTCACATCGAACATCAGTGGCGGGCGATATCCAAACCGGCCCTGGGTTCCAGCCCCTTCACTAAACTCGGACCGAGGAGTGTGGTGAGGTCAAACAACCCCCATGACTGACAGAGTGTGAGAGTGGAGAGTCCTTCGCCTAGCAGTGGATTCAACAAAGTGCTCTTAAATCACGATTATTCTTACGATTGTTATTACAACAAGAAGGCAAAGGAATCCCACAGGCTGCCTGCACGTATTTCCATAGTTTAATCCTCCCAATCACAGAATGCCTGCCTGGTCTAGCATTAGCCCAGAGGAACATTGATAAATCAACAATTAACTATATTGGGCTACACTAATGTTAGGCGACTTGAAATGTTTGTTTGGTTAATCTGTGACTCATTTCACCAATCTGAATAACCTTTAGTTTATCCATATCTCAGACCCACAAATGTGTTTTTAATGTCTCCTGGGAGGATGTTTAATGTTTGGAGGGGTCGCCATACTTTGGGGATGCATTCAGCTTCTGAGCGCCGTACGTTCGTAAAGATGAAGAATGCTGAAAACGCGTCACTTTTTTTGCGGATCGGAAAATTCGACAATCGAAATAACCTCCCCCCCCTGCCCCCAGTAACTACAACAGGCAGCATTCATTCCTCGCACTTAAAAGAAAAATGTTTGCTTGAATTATTATTTTTGCAAACACCAAGTCACTGTTATTTCAAGAGCCCGGTCAGCGCTTTTGTGCTTTCGGCCGCGTGAACTTTACAGCTGTGGCAACAACCACGGTCACCCCGGTGCAGAGACAACCACGGCACTCACGCAGGACAGCTGCCATCACCTTTGAAAGCAGCTGACTCGTGGGGGAGAGGAGCGCCATGGTGGTGAGATGTTAACTACCTCGCCTGGTATACAGGATGTCGTGGGTACGATCCTGACCCGGACGCCCGTATATTTGGAGGTTTGTATGTTCTCTCTGCCCGTAGTCGTGTGGATTTTTCTCCGGGGTCTCCGGATTTTCCCTCTACATTTAGAATCAACGTGCGTTTAGAGTATTTGCCTGCCATAAATACATTTCCACATGATAAGCCACTTCGTTGGGTTAGCATTTGTGGCCAGATCATTTCCGAAAAAGAGTTGGTAAAATAACAATAGCTTAGAAGGCTATCCTTCAAAGACAAAATTAACCTGAAAACTCAGCCTGCGTGACATTGGTCTGCTTGTTTATACATAAGCGGCTTGAGGAAACCATCATCCAAAAGTAGAATGACGAAGTACCTTGGCACAAAGAGAGAAGTGCTGTGTTTTGTCAAGTAAAAAATCTCTGCATTTCAGTTCCCACCTCCACAAGCAGCAGCCTATCACTGTGCGCTGGCACTGGATTTTTTAGAGTTCTATCTATTAACATTCAGTTAATGTTAAAAGGAAACACATACTTGTCAACGTACGACTATTATTTTTTTCCCCGTTAAAGCTTACGAAACGACGTGAAAAAAGCAATGTGCAGTTTGCCACAAAATAATTGGCTTAAAATGCTAAGCACAAAGAGGCTCCTGTTGACAATGGGGCTATGCAGTGGCCTTTGGAGGGCAGAAACAAGCTCAAACCGAGCGCTGTTGGGATGAGCGATAAGCTCAATGTGGCTTCCCGCGATTTGTCTGGCACGGAAATTGACCAGATAAATGAAACCAACCAAACAAATGCTGTACCTGATAAATCACGGCGCACGACCGATTGTGAAAGCGTGAAGCGTTCGATGCATTTTACAGAAATAAATCAAACGGGCACTTAACACCTGGGGCCTTTCATCACAGCTCGTTTCATTAAATCAACAAGGGAGGAAATTAAGCGACGAATATCAGCGTCTGCCTCCCACAGATAGGACACGGTGGTGGTGGCGGGGGCTTGCTTTTAGAAAATATTTTAACGAAATAAAAAAACATCGCCGCTATAATACATTACACTGGCCCCCACGGTGTTCAGGTAAGAGCCCTCCGTGGGGCAACACGGACCGCGCACACAGAAGAGCGTGAACAAAGAAGAGTCTGTTAGAGGGCACGTTGGCCGTCCATCAGCCGGTGCAGAGTTTCGTACGCAAACTGGCAAGCGCCAGGGCGAGCGCTGGAACCTGCCGACCCAAGAGAGTTTATGTTGTGCCCCTCGTCTTTTTTTGCCGTTGCTGTTGCCGTTGCAAAATTGTTGTTTCATGAAGAAGCGTCCGCATGCAAGAGGCGCTTCGGGTGGCTCATGGGGCCAATATAGTGCCAGAGTGCTGGTGCCGGCACTGCTGAGATCCCGGGGGTTTGAATCCGCGAAGCCAACCAGAACAAATTGCGGTTAAGTGTGAAAATGTAACGGTTTAGAGCCCCACACACGAAAGATTGCACATAATAAACTTGCTTTTTAATTTCAATTGCCATATTCTAGCTTTCATCATTGAACGTGGTTTGAATGCCATGCAACAAACATTCACTGGCCATCTAAGAGGTGTGCCGATTGCGGCTAAAGTATTGAATTGGGAAGTAGCTCCGTGAATTCTTCTTCCAGGATCATTCTCCGACACAAGGTGGTGCGCGCAATGCTCGCTACAAGAGTTCATAATCGTAATTTCTTCGTCTCACGATGACACCACGAGAAAAGCAAGATTATAATTAGGATAGGGCAAGGAGAGGAGGAATACAATTGTGTATGCCGTGCTAAGTAAAGTTTCTCCCAACGTAATAAGCGAGCTCCCAGCTGGTGGGTCATATTTCCTAGGCTCGTTCTTCATCAGTGAACAATGTAACAACGTGCAGAGGCAGCTAGACAACTTGACTCACAATTAGAAGGCGACCAGTTCAAATAATTTAATCAGGGCCAACTCGGCCCACCAGTCCATTATAGCGAGTAAAATAAATACTAGGACGATCGAAACGTCGTAGTTTTATTTTTATTTTTTGAACCTATCTACGTGACTTTACCGAAAAACCCAAAGAATATTAATTCCTGGAGTCACGAAAGCTTTAAGTCAATATTTTACAATACTTTGGTTGTCCTTAGAGTGATACTAGCCACGCCAGAGGAATATGGAATGTAAATCACTGCTTCGCACAATGTGCAATGAACGTGCCAAGCTGAGTTCGATTCCCGGCCATGGCTGCCATCAGCGAGCAGTGATATTTAATCTGGTCCAGGGGGGCCTCCGTGTGCCAACTCGCAAGGACCAACCACCAAAACTGGCAGAGCGTGGGGGAGCCCTTCATCCAGCAGTGGACTGACAACGGACTCCCGTTTATCAATGACAGATCTGCCAGACAAGATTCTCCGCACGGCGAGCGGGTGGGTGGGACAGCGAGCGTCAATATCCCCCCGCCTGGGGGGGGCAGTGCCAAGCCCATGACAGGACGTCAGAAGGACATTCACGAGCGGACGCTCGAGCCACGTGTCCTGCCCTCGTCATCCCTCAATGCCTTCCCCATTGGGGCTGCACCAATAACGATAAAATAAAAGCGTGATGACGGGACGTTTCTGCCGCTCGGATTTTTACACCTGCAGAAGATCTGCGCCCTGCCATAGATGTTTTACAGCTGCCCGTAAATAACATGATGAAAAATGTAGGCCTAAAATGGGTTAGCTCAGCGCATTCTGTTATACTTGACACCTTTCAGGGAACAGGGATGGATTTCCTAGAAATGAGCCTTTGGGCTCTCTCACCTGGGCATAATTAATTACCGAGGATAACTTCCCAGGAATAATAAGTTCGCAGTAATGATTCTCAATGGCCGACCTATGCGAATAATATCACGGTAACTAATACAACGGGTACATTCCGTAGTAGTGCATTTTTATTTCAACTAAGATGAACTAAGATGGCAGTCCAACAGACAAAATCTTGGGCCTGGAAATGTATTCTTGCATAAGGAACCTTACATTCGTCATTGCATAAGGAACCTTACATTCGTCACACTTTTTTTGGAAGCACAAACCCATACAAATAACGTACCAAATTTCATAAGAGGCTTTACACACCCTCGGGTTTTTCGCTCCGTATTTATAAACATGCGTTTAAGAGTATTTGGCGGCTATAAATTTCCACTTTGTGGGGCTGTCATTTGTGGCCAGGTCGCTTCTGAAAAAGATCTACATAGCCGAGTGGGACCGACCTGGGAAAAAATAAAAATAGCTAGTAAATTAATAATCCGCAACACCACCGCCTGCCCCCCCCAGCGCCAATTCGGACGCCCGCCTCCGCCAGCGGCTGACCTGCGAGTGAGCGCGTCGGTGTTGGCGGTGCGAGCCTCCTGCAGCTCCTCCTCCAGGCGGTGGCGCTCGGCCTCGAGCCGCGTGGCCTCCTCGCGCGAGCGCTTGCGCGGGTTCACGTAGCGCAGCTCCCGCAGGAGCTCCTCCTTCTCGCCCAGCAGCAGCAGGCGGTCGCGGTCAGCCTCCAGCGCCCCGGGCCAAGCCTCGGCCTCCAGCTTGGCCAGCTCGATCTGGATATTGGCCAGTCTGGGGGATACACACGAGGGGGGGGGAGGGGGGACACACACGCAGGCCGTGAGGATATCGCACGCAGGGTTACGACTTGAAAACGCGAGACGCGAGGACTTGAGTCGCGAGGATGCGAGATACGGGACGAGGCGGGGGCAAGCGGACACAGGGATAAAGGGACGGGGGCGTTCAGACAGAGGCATGGGGCATGGAGAAGTAAAACATAACAAAACAATGGGATGTATGAATTATGGAATATGGAAATGCAGGGGCATAGGACAGAGAGAGACAGGGACAGGAAACACAACAGCAAGGGCAGATGAGTACACACAGAAACAGGGCATAAGGACAGGAGAAAACGAACACCAAGATGAACACCAAGATGCACGTGTACGGGACACAGGACACCAGAATATTAGAAATGGAGACGCAGGCACCCGGGGACATGACCACCGGGACAAGGGACACACGAATCTAGTGATGTGGGTACACAGAAATGCACAGATATAGAAGAAACACAAGGGTAAGGGATACAGGACGCCAACACACAGAGGCACAAAAGAACATGGGTACAAAGGAGACACAGCGATGCAAAAAATATAGACACAGGAACGTGTGGTATGAAGCGCACGGACAAAGTACATAGCAACACATAGGCACCGGAAACAGAGCATGAGCATAGTTGACTTAGAAGACACCCTACGGCTTATTTACACATCAACTCTCCCACGTGCCATGGCTCAACTTTCCCACCCACGGCTACTGGTCTCATAATCCCCGTTTGGATTTCCTGGGTAGGACGCTCACTTCTTTAAGGACACAGCAGGAGAAGACGGAGCAGTGACTCCGTGCTCGGGGAGACGCCCCTCCATGTGCGCAGGGTTTATTTGTTGCCTTTCACAAAGCGCCACCGATATTAAAGCCAAGCGGCGGCCGTGTGCCTTCAGGAAGTGGCCCCCAGAGAGGGGCCGCACTGGATTATGTTTTCACCCAGCTGCCCAAATAAAGAAACCTCAAACGCGAGCGCACGAGACAAAACGCTGGCACACCATGCCTCCCAGCGAGGGTGGCAAGCTCGGCCATGCGGGGCACACCACTGCGACGGACCTCACACAAACAATCCTCGTCCCTCCCATCTTCCTCTCTCTCTCTGAGGGCCTTTTTTTCTCTCTCCCACCGGCATCACGCCCGACGCCTCAGATAAAAGGAGGACCGCTGCGTCCCATGGACGCGAGGCAGCCCCGTCCGGAAACGCGATCGCCGGCAATCACCTGCAGCGCGCCGCTTCACCAACCCCAAAGCAGCAGCAGCAGCAGCTGCTGCCCCGTCTTTGTATCGAGGTTGCGATTTTTGTGCGACACCTCTGATGAACTGGCCTCCCCCGCCTTGCGCCCCTCCACACCACCGGCCAACAAATTCTCCCACCAACCCGGTAAAGAAATCTCTGCGAGTATTTTAAACTCGGCTCGAGGAACAACAAGCGGGTGAATGGCTCCCGGCAAAAATCAGACAAAAAGAAAAGAAGAAAAACCTCAAAGCACCCACCACACCTGAGATGAAACGGCAACTCGTGCCGAGACAAAAGGAGGCACTGTTGGCTCGCGGGCTTTCGCGAGGCGGCAGAAGGTGCCGCTGGTGTCAGGTGGCAGACTTTCCCATCTCTCCTCATCTCTCATCGCGGGGAGCGGCCCACTCTCTAAGGTTTCCTTCGCTACAGGGAGCGCTTTGTTCGGAATCTCGCCGTAGTGGGAAAAGTTGCTAGCCGCGACCGCCAGTTCCGGATGAGGACGTGCCAATTTGATACTTCCAGATTCCACCCAGCACAGCTTGCCACCTTCCACGCCAAACCCAAACGCTGAGATTTTTGCGCAAGCCGTTTGACTGAGAAGACACGTTACAAGTCGCGTTGGGATCCCAGGTCTTTTTGATCCAGCCAGTCTTACCAGCTCTTCAAATTGGCAAAGCGCACACACAGTTGCCGACCTCTGCCCAGTTCCGGAGGAGAGGTGATTAAACATAAGCTCAACCTGGACACACTTAAAAGCTACCCACATCTAGGCTTTCATCAAAAATAGTGATCCATTTACTTGTTAACATGGGCATGCCTGGCGATACAATACCAGAGCAGTCCTTCTTATTTAGTTTAAATTAAGTGTACACATGTCTACAGTATGTAATGCACAGCCCTTTGGTCGGTCTACTGCTGTCGGTCAGGGAGGGTTGTTTGATTGTACTTCACCACGTCGGTCAATGCGAGTCGCAGAACGGGGGTGGCTCGGACCGGTTACGATATCGCTTGCCAACGATGTTCGCCATGACCGGGAATTTGAACGGAGGTCGATTATAAGCAAGGCGGTTTCCCACCACTAGGCTAATGCAAAGGATGTGGTTGCGATGTGGACCCAAACCCACTGGCGCTGACCCACGACCGACGGCTCAGATGCTGCCCTCACCTGCGCTTGGCCTCGTCGTACTGCAGGTTGAGCTTCACCTTCTCAGCCAGCTTGGCACGGCCACCGCTGAACACCTGTGAACGAGGTGGCAGGAGGGGGGGGTGTAACTTGTGCATGCGTCGATTCATCCGTTTGGGAGGGGGGTATAGAAGTAGAGTACGATAATGCATCATGCTGCAGTGCCCTCTACCGACTGCAACGTAGCCCTGCGGACCGTAACCACCTGGTGTACATTGGTGGTCACCCATTCAAGTGCTAGCGGCGCTCAACCCTGCATTCCTCCCGCAATCTGACGAGATTGGGCATATTGCGGGCGATTTGATAATTTAGCTGATTATTTACAATTCCTGAAATGCACACGCAATTATTAGCTTTTGGATGCTGGCATGAATGAGACCGAACAAGACTCATCGATGCAATTTTGCAAACCATCCCAATAATGGATGCCCCCTAAGATAAAGAGTCTTGACACTCGGCGAGGGCTTGCTGGGTAAAGTGCGCGCTATTAATGCCAGCAAGCACAAAGTGCAAACGAAGTTGTACGAGATAAGAACCGCGACCTCCAATCGCAAATAGGTGCCCCTAATGTCGTCAAGGGCACGGAGCCGCGGCCAACGGTGGGTGCCGTGGATTGGCGCGTACGAGTACACAGAGGGAACGCACGCGCGCACGCATTCACACGTTCAAAGGCTTTCAGAGATGTCGCGCGGAATCCGGCTGTGGGAATTTTATTATTATTATTATTGCTACTTTGTTGTTATCGTTGTTGTTATTGTCCAAAGGGTTTTTTTTTTTCCGGTTCGGATGGCGGTCACGATAGCACAACCACAGAACGGATGGCCGACTACGAGCCTGGCAAGTGGGACGAGTGGGGCACGCATGATGGGGCACTAAACGAGGTCGCACAGGCACGGAAACAAAAGGTGAAGATCCCCCGTATAGCCTTTAACAGACTGTTGAGGCAAGTGCTGTTATAGCAAGCACCTATGAAGTCCGGCACGGCACACGAGGGGGGGGGGTGGGTGGCCAACACGATTCCCGGCCGCCTTTGTCTCCCCAGTGTTGATGTTTACACACCGCACCAAGTACTCATTGTAAAACGAGGCACAGAAAACACACACACACACACATACGTATACAGATGCAGAGAGTAACTGGATAGCAAAAAAGGGTTTAACAATGGGTTAAAAGCACAGCCCTTTTAAGGCTATATGGGAGATCTTTGTTTCTTCCTTTGTACGCGTGCATGCCCATGCCTCTAGAAATGCAAGTGCTTGTGTGCAAATGGCGGCTATTGTTGTAGACCGAGGGGGAAATGGCCCAGCGGGAGCGCCTTCGTCATTTGTCGCAGCTGTAGTTCGTTCGCTATTTGTCGCAGAGGTTCCTGGTTCGAATGTGGCAGGCCACCCTCGTTATTACCGCTTGGTGTATTCACCATACAAGCATGTACCGTCTGATTCACAGTGAACTACCAAGATTCCCCAATGTCATTCGAAACGAGAAGGCGGCGTAACGCTACCGTGGCCAAAATTTGCCAAATTTGATAAATGACAGCACCAAATACTCGTTCTGGATTACACGCACGGCAGAACACACCCGTCTGTGAAACATAGCGCCTGTGCGATATCCCCGCGCTATAAGAATGGCAGAGTATTAAGTTCTTATTACGGACAATTATCATTATTATATCTGCCTGCGTGCGTGCGTGCGTGCGTGCGTGCGTCCTGCGTGCACGCGAGGCCGTGTCTGCGAGCGTCTGCGTACGTCCCCGGTGATGTCCGTCTGCGAGCCGGCGTCCAGGCAGGGCTTGGACAGCGAGAGGTTGGAATTGACGAGCGAGCCGCGGCTTCCTTGCAGCTGGGCGCGCGCGTCCTCCCGCTTGAAGCCGTCCTTCAGCTTGGCGAGGCTCTGCGGACGCCACGAAGCGCAGACGACCGAGAGCAGCACGAGAATGTCAACGACCCCTCGCTCATTTTTTACGTTCGCAGAACTTCTTCCGCGCCGTACGTAGCCAACCGTGCTAATCGGAGGGGCGGGATGACGGTTGGCGTGCTTTGTAGCAGCCCAGGACTGAGCTGCGAGCCATTGTAGGCACTAACTGTCGTATTTTAATGCTCGGTGAATGAATGGTGGATTCAGTGACCGTTAAGGGTGGCCACTCAATACGTCTTGCGGAAAGTGAAGTCTCAGTTTACTCTCCCCTCTCCATTTGTTACTTGTGGTGTACAAGTTAACTGCTGAGAATGTCGTTCTTATCTGTTCTCATTTACAGGTTGTTCAGGATCCTCCCCTTCTCTTCCCCGCGTCTATGCCTCGACAGGATGATGACTCTGTGTGCGTTGACTGTCGTGGCGTTTTCAACTCCGTTGAGCAACCAGTAAATATTGAATTGTCTTTAAACTCGCAGTGGCTTCAGTTTTACAGGCAAATGACGAAAAACAAGGAGGTGCGACCTTGAAAAAAAATCCAAACAACTGAATTTTGAGTGGTACCCCAAGTGCACGTGTACACTTCAGACACACGTAGGGTACAAGAGAAATGTGCACAGGCAATGATCGATCACTGGATGAACCCTCATGAAGCACACCTAACCGGTCGTATAGACGGCCACACACGCAAAAACAAAGGCGCGTTGCTTGCAAATACAACTCTTGACTCTACAGCGTCCCCCCCCTCTCCTCCTCCCACTCGAGCTTTACGAATGCCAATTCACACGCACATCTGCAAACCGGAGTCTGGCTAGGATTTGTACATCGTGCGGTCGACATTACTGTGCACCCCTTCCCCCCCCCCCCCACCTCCTCCGCTTGATGCGCTGTGTGCCTACTCGCAGACATCGTGCCGGCGGGGAAAAGCCAGATGGAGGAGGGCCACAATCATTTTGTTGCAGTATAACTTGTTAAGTAAAAGGCACATTTTTTCGCAAATTGTTGTCATCATCGTCATCATAATCGTCATCAGCCATCGTGAAGGCTTCCTCAAACCACCACACCATCTCTCACGGTCCTGCGAAACAGCAATCTGTCTTGTACCTACAAAGGGAGCCGGATCTCATTGCTCCACCTCTGCGGTGGGAATCCCCTCGGGTGTGTTCCCACACCTGGCTGTCACAATGGCGTCCAACAGTGACCCAGCCCGCTTACTGAACGTGTCTCTAACTCTGCCCGAGCACTAGCTGTGGGCGGCATGTTCTGCTCGCTCCGCACGCGGCGACGGCTGTCCGGTGACATAATGCAATACTAATTTTTTTTCACTGACAATTTTGTTTTATTTTACGAGGTAAGGCCCACTATAGCTCTGTTTCATAAGCGACCTGGCCACAAATGGTAGACCAACGAAGTGGCTTATCACGTGAAAATTTACTCTAAACGCACGATTCCAAATGTGGAGGGAAAAACCGGAGGACCCGACGAAAAAATCCACGTGACCATGGGGAAAAAAACACGCAAACTCCAAATATGCAGCAGGTGTCAGGGTTGGCATCGAACCCACGACCTTCTGTACACCAGGCGAGGTAGTTAACATCTCGCCACCGTGCCGCCCCAAAAACACAAGGGACGCTCGAGGGCGACGGCATCGATGTAACTGCATTCTCACTGGCAGCGTCCAGCGGGTATATTGACTCGCGCACGATGATCGATGATCCCGGCGAAGCGGTGCGGCTGCGGGAGGACAGGAGACGTGGGCCCAGCCTGGCGCGCGTGCGGCGCCCGTACCTGCATGAGGTCGTGTTTCTCTTTCTCGCCGGAGCTGATGGCCTTCCGGATCGACTTCAGCTCGCTCAGGATGGCCTGCGCCTCGTCCAGCTTGTAGCCGCCCTGGCTCTCGGCCATCTTGCGGTCGATCCTTCGCAGACGGGAAAACAAACGGCGACGGCGCAGCAACGGAGACATGGTCACAGAGGGCGGTGGAGGGTGTGGGTAGCGTGTAAACAAACACGTCAATAAATCACGTTGTTCAATGAGTCAGCAGGACGAGAGATACTTTTGAATATGCAACAAGCAATAACTGGATACTCTGTGCAGTCAGTGGCACAGCCGTCGAGTGTGCAGGCGGTGCAATTGCACCGTGGCCCACGGGACCTGGCCTTTGGCTATGAAGAGGAGATTGAACAGAGAGGGGGTGACATTTCATCCCTCGCACCCGGGTGCACGCCAGTCATGCTGTGCCACTGCATATAGTACACGCATGAATCTTGAACTTCGTGTGCACCGTACGTAGCCAACCATGCTAATCGGAAGGACAAAAGACTAAACACAAAAAGCAGTTCTGAAGAAATGAGTTTTCAATCTAGATGATTTTAAAGTGCACAGCTCCAGTAGCTTCCTAATATCGCAAGAGCGTTCCAGACCGCCGCATCATCAAAATCACCACCATCAACGTCAACATCCTCCACTTCCTCATCATGCAGGTACCTCCTTAACATCGCCACCATCAACATCATCACCACCATCATGGATATGTTCGCCAGATTTATCAGCTTCACAATGACAGTGACTTCATATCATGGACACAATCAACGTAGCCCATCATCATCACGATTATAATTATTATGATGATCATCATCTTCATAGATGGGACAATGGGCACCACCTGTTGAAGTTGTCACCTGTTGTGAAGCAGGGTACACAACACATTGTCCTAGCATGACTGGTCCCCACCATACGCTTGCGGAATTCCACAACTGGCTGAGGACCTCCGATGGTCACGAGAGTGTTTTACAACATTCTAGATTTGAAGCTTTCGTGACTGCAAGAATTCACTCTTTGGTTTTTTCGGTAAAGTCACGTAGGTAAAATAAAATAAATGAAAACAACTAAATGAAATCACGACGTTTCGGAGGCAACACAAGCTTCCGTCTTCAGGTGGAAACCGTCACAGCAAAATTGCTGTATCAAGTGACCTTGATACAGCAACAGCTTGGTCGTTTCCATGGCTACTCAATTTGCACACTACAAACCAACAACTAAGCTTATGATAAACGAAGACCTTTCACTGGAAGAAACAAATAGTTACGTACATATCACACATCGAATGTACATTACGGCGGACAAAAGTGGCCATAACCTAGACCTCTGATATTGCGAGTGAGAAAATGTCTACGAACACATTCATTGACGAACAATTATTTTGCCGAGTAGTTTCCGTAAAAATTAAACGAAAGGCGATGACAGCCAGCACACTCGCCAATGTCTATGAGTGTTACATCGATATTATTTAAACTATTACAATTTTTATTTTACCGGGTAAAGTCCACGAAGATAAATAGCTCTTTTTCAAAAGCGGCCTGGCCACGAATGATAGCCCAATGAAGTGGCTCATCATGTAGAAATTTATAGCAGCCAAATACACCACGCGACCACAGGGAGAACATGCAAACTCCAAATATGAAGACGTCAGGGTCAGGGTCAAACCCACACAACCTCCTACATACCAGGCGAGGTAGTTATCATCTCACCACCATTTCAACTTCAAGGAAGCGTGTTCGTGGAAGAAAACACGTCTGATTTTAAGGGGGGGGGATTTAAAATCAATTAGCACACCACGTGAAAACGTACCCTTACGACATAATGCTCGCAGATTTTGCACCTGCGGCCCTCCGGCAGGGAATCGTTAATGCGAGTCAATGCGTCCAAATATCCGCCACAACTGGGAGTAACGAACACAATTCAACTTATGATATATATAGATTGATATATTGCCTTATATTCAAAGGCGTTTTAGAGAAATTATATAACATTGTACATAAGATGATAGCGGTTCAGATAAATAGTGGGGTTAATAAAAGTGATGGTATAGTTATGGTAATAGTTGGAAGAATAGGCCGGAGAGGTGAAAAAAGGGTTGGGGTAGGCCTGGTCGTAGTGAAGGGGCGGGCGCAGGGAGTAGCAGTTGCAGGACGAGCGCGGGAGAAGAGATGGGGGTTCATCTTCATGGTTCTTTCGGTAAAGTCACGTAGAATGGAAATAAAATAATAAAACATAATAAAATAAAATTCTCACGACGTTTCGGCCACAACACAAGCAGCCTTCTTCAGGTGAATGAACAGGACTGTCGTGAGAATTTTATTTTATTATGTTTTATTTTTATTATTTTATTTCCATTCTACGTGACTTTACCGAAATAACCAAGAAGATGAATCCCTGCAGTCACGGAAGCTTTAAATCGAGATGGGGGTTGTTTGAAGGTGGGAGTGGAAGCAGGTTAGTGAAGACGATTGTTTATTAAGAAGCATGGCAAGCACCACATTTTCAACCCAGTGAAAATATTTACATGACCATCACTTCAATTCTTAAAATCTCTCATTGGACGGATGCATTTAGAATGGTATTGTACATTTCCACAAGAGATTGTGTGCGAGGAACATTCATTCATACTACCATTTTGTTTGAAAAGTAATTTGCTGTTTGGCAACACCAATGACAGCAGGGCACCAACACCACCACCACCTCCTTATGATTATTTCTCCCTCTTGCAAAAAACAATCATTTTGGCTTTTTACGAGGTTAAGGCTAGGCGATGACTGTCAGACGTGAACATAATATTTTTAAAAATTCGTTTTTTTTAATCAGTCACTGGAAGACAAATACTAAAAATCAGCACAGCAAAATATAGCGGCAGCACACGCTTCAGAATGTTCGTATTCGTGTTGACGTTTTGTCAAAACTAAAATCTTTATTTACACTGGAGGAATCCGATGAGCTATGAATCTCTTTTTCACAGACGCTCCGATCCAACGGACAAGCACTTCCATTTGATGACGGCTGGGGAAAGGGCCGTGGTCTTTACTGGGGCATGGCGCGCTTGTCTCTGATCGCTCGTTTTTACCCCTCTACATCCATCAGGGCTACACACGCACCACCACTTCACCATGTGCCAAAAACAATTCACGTACAATTTGAAGACCACGAACGATGTTAAATGTAACTGTGTTTTGTCTTTTTAAAGCATCTTGAGAGACTTGAGACATGAATAAAATATGTTCTGGATCATGTGGGTTTTTCTCTCTCATCATCATCATTACCAAGCCATTGGCTATCCAAAGCTGAATGAAGACCTCCACTAAACCGTGGCCATCTCTCACGGTCCAATGTTGCGACCATTTATCTCGCTCCTGCACGTGGACCGATCTCATCGCTCCATCTCTGCGGTGGTCGTCCCTCTTGGACACAATCTTTCCTTTGGCCACGTAAGGAACTGTGAATAACGGCATTCAATAAAACGACGTGTATTCACTATCCAATGTGGGCTCGCTCTCATCGGGAAGTAGGTGTATGCGCAAAATGCGCAATCGCAAAGGTGCAATCTCATAGTGACGGCATCGAAGCAACGTACATGTGCGCCCGTGAAATTCTGACCCCAAAAATAAAAAAGGGTCCCTCCTCCTCCTCCGAAACCCAGTCAGGCAGCAATAATGGCAACGCCGAAAGATCCACGTTGGCAGCGGAAAATGGCAGCGGAAAATGGCAGCGGTGCGTGCCGGAAAGATTATTTAGTGAGTCGGTGTTAATTTGCGTTAAAATAACAAGCTCGTGCGAAAACACTGACGAAGGACTTCTTCTGCAAATGAGAAAGGGAAATGAGCAACATCAATAAAACTTAGCTCACCTAAATTACGGTTCGTTTCCCCAAGCACGTGCACAGCGACCGTTTCATTTTGTTATTGCAGCCAGTTTGCGAACTTTAATTTAACCCGCGCTGGCGGTTAGGTCAAAACACACGCTTTGGATAGAACGTAAATTGACCAAGACCCGAAGAAATATTTCCACACTGCCCATTAATAAAAGGAGGACGACAGGATGGGGAGAGTTATGTCACATATAACGGTCTCCCCCAATATCGTATTTCCCACAGCAATGCAATTCGAAATTCCAAAATCCCTGCAAACTGTTTATGGGAAGAGGCCCCTTCGGTATACCGTCATAAATCACCGTGGGCTTCAAAGCCCACGCCAAAGGAAATCCGAGGAAGCCTCAACTATAGCCAAGAACGTAAGAATGAATTCTCCCAAGTGAATGCTTAAGTCGGGTGGTAGTACTGCCATGTGACGTGGAACTTCAATGCTGCCACAGTACTCCGCCTTCTTGCTCATAGCCGAAAATTTGCTTTGCGACTTTTTTCATTTCAAGAGAATGTGAATGCTGTTCTCACGATCAAGATTACAATAATCAGCTTTTTAATAGCTCTCTCCGCATTGGTTATTATTATATTTTATTATTACATTGGAAAATTACTTTACAAAAAACAAACACATACCAAATTTACCACTGTAATTTGTGCAACCCACTGCGATGAGTGAGTCTTTTGAAAAGCTAATACAAATCGTGGAGGACTGAGCGACCGGGACCATGAAGCCAATCGGCTACACATGCATGTCCTTTATCATCATCAGCCATGATGGAGACCTCCAAAAGCCATGCCTATCTCTTGATGCTTTGCTATGCAACAATCCCTCGAGCTGCTCCACACGAGCCGATTTCATCCCTCTCCATTTCCGCAGTGGACATACGCTTGGGCGTGCTTCCCTCCTTGCTCAGGCATGTTTCCCATCTCGCCACCGTGGTGCCACTTAAGAGGCGGCACGGTGGCGAGATGTTAACTCCCTCGCCTGATATGCAGGAGATCGTGGATTTGACCCTGACACTTGTATATTTGGAGTCTGCATGTCCCTCTCGCTCCCCGTGATCGTGTGGATTTTTCACCAGAGCCTCTGCTTTTTCCCTCCACATTTTAGAAACGCGCGTTTAGAGTATTTGGTGGCTATAAATTTCCACATGATAAACCACTTCGTTGAGCTATCATGTGGCCAGGCCACTTCTGAAAAAGCGCTATATAGCTCAGTCAGC